TTTTTTGGAAAATTTTGAGTTTGCAGTTTTTTCTACCTTTTGTTATATATATATATAACATGAATTATTCTATTTTTGCAAAACATGAACGTTTTATATGCATTAGATATGGGAGATAATCTATTTCTCACTTTGTTGGCAAATATTCACCTGGGGGCATACGTATTTGCAAAAGTACGCATTTATATATCTAAATTTGACTTTTCCTACTTGTAATAGAAAATAATGTGATGGGCTGCAAGAAAAAATACAATATATAAGTTGTTAACAATTGTCATATTCACATATTGCTTTTGATCTAAGCTCATTCAAAATTTGAATAAATTCTAATTATACAGTTTTCAGTTTGCTTTTAAACATATCAAGCATATGCCTTTAAACTTTCATGCCAATGAAACACTTTTTAAGGACACACAGGACACTTAATTTCAAATCAAACAAAAGTTTATACTCGTAGGAAAATTTGGTCGAAGTGAATTTTGTATTACCTGTAAATGCTGTCAATCACGAAGAGCTATTTCGATGCACTCAGGAGGGAAATATTACGGAGCCTCAATGTGGATAAAGGAACGATACGAATAAAAAAAAATAAAACAGTGAGCTTGGTTTTCTGTCAGAATGTTAGAAAGTTTCATAAGAGGCAGCATCAAGAAAACATGTCTGCCTTCGAGAACAGCATTTTCACTTAAGACGCCTGTACCATTCTCAAGAAAAGACACTCTGGGTTGATTTTTTTGCATACGTGACCTTAAGGTAGTACACCCCTAATGCACTATCTCCACTTTGAAGAGTATTCAAACAGGCTAAAATCACTGTAAAGTGTATTGAAACTGAGGGGGCGTGGGTTCAAACCCCAGGAGGGGCAATTTTTTTTCTTTCTTTTTTTTTCTTTTTAACATTTTTTATTAATCTCTCAGACCCCCTATGGAAGAAAAAAGTGTTTTAATTTAATTATATAATTATTGTAGGTATTTATTTACTAAATAATGCCAAATTTAATAGCAAATATGATACCAGATATTTTCAAAGTTTAATAAAATAAAAACTAAACGGTAAAAGTATTTTATATTTTGCAAGACCAACCAATATACATTAAAGAAAATTTAGGCAATCTTTGAAAATAGCCCCTCATTTTGGAAAAATTTAGGGATATTTCAAATAAGGCTTTTTACATAGGGAAATGGTCAAATTAGTGTTAAAAGTGGGTGGGGTAGGGTTACATTTTAATACATATTGAAAACATTTCGTTTAAAAACAATCATTTTGCTTGTTTAATTTGTTACCTAAATGTCATTATTTATTTCTGAACAATGAGCAAAAGGAAAACATTTTTCATATTGATGATATTATAGATTATTTAGAGTTTCCTCATTTCTGAAAAAATCCCTTCTAATGGCAAAGTTTTAGTTCATAAAAATGTCCATAACTCATAAACCACACGGTAAATTTTGTTTAAAGTTTGCATACAGGTGACATTTAATGCATATAACTGTCCTATGTTGTCAAATTTACAATTCCTTATAGTGCCCATTAGGGGTGTACTACCTTAAGTGATGATTGCATCAATGAAATATTTAAAACTGTGTAATCTTATTGTGGCAAAATTATATATATAATAAAATTAGATGTAGTATAATACTTTTTATACCGATAAACAGCAGACAAACATGATTGTAGGTGAAAGGCCGACACAAAATATTGATAAAAAAAATCTGACCTTAGATTAAATATTAAAATAAACTTCTCGGTGTGTAAGATACGTCTTAAGCTGATGTTGTAGCTCGAACCCGCGACATCTGGGTAGGTGAAAAACGTATACAAATGTGTTTTACCAAAAAGGGGCTCTTTGGCATAAATTGTGGTCCTCAATTTATAATACCGACTAAAATGACTTTAATTTCAGCCAAATATTTTGTACATCACAAAGCGTTTCTTATCTGATAGTTAACTAGTCCCCAGATCACATATTGGTTACAATAACGAAAATGATAATGTACATAAGTAAAAATATAATCTAACTAAAAGGTTTTTTTAAAGCACAAACAGTAAACTTTACAGAATTCAAGATAACTATTTTTTTTGTCGCCCATGTTAAGAAATAGTGAACACTTTGCCGTAACTAATGGCCGTTAGCCATAATTAAGCCCAATGTATGAATAACGAGTGTTCAAGATAAAATAGAGTACTAAAGTAACATATGCTTTTATATCAATTTTCTAAGAAATCTCACTTTTTCCTAAAAAATGGAAGTTTGCGGAATTTTGATTTCGTTATAAATATTCCTGACAAGTTATATGACAGTATATAAACGGCTGTTTGCAATATAATTCTAGCTGCTATATTTCCAAACAGGCGTTTATATAAAGCCATATTACCTGTCAAAAATCTTTAAAACTAATAATATACCCTTTCCCCTGTAAGCAAATTGAATTTTATGACAAATCAGCTTCTGAATTAAGACCTTATACCATGTATAGTTAACCTAAGGTCACAAGTCCATCATTTTATTTGCTAAACAAGTGGAGCTGTTGTAATGACCGTCCCGTTGGCATTGACTGAACCTTTCCGTTTTCTTTTCTCAGAAACTATAAAAGCGATTCACTTTAAATTTGGTATACATGTACTTAAAGGAGCCCATTTCAAAAGAGCAGATAATCCTAAAAAAAGGTTATGCCCCTTTGTCTGAAAAGGACTGCCTTATATATTGCTTTTATTCGAGAAAAGTGGAGCTACTGTCCAGGGATGGGTCTTGTTTTTCATTATGATTAATCATTTTGATTGTGATATCTTCTGCTACAAAATTTCCTTATCTTCTGTTACAAAATTCCCTTATTTTCTGTAAAAAAAATTCCTTTTTTTGGACCGTCTACCGCAATTTGTCAGCTAAATACTGGTGACAGAGGCCAGCTATGGTCGCTGGAAGTTTTTGTTATTGTCAGATTGAAAATATTTATATAATACAAAAATTTACTCAGTCATGTTTACCTACTATGAAAACATGTTTTGCCAAGAACAAAAATAGTTCTTAATATTTTTGTCAACAACAACATATATTGCCAATTATCATGTCCAAAACGTGTTTACATTTTACAAGGGCATTGCCTCATCGTTCTTTATTTATTGAAATAATTAGATTCAAAGGTTTGTCAAGTACAGATATTTGTCTAAAGGTTCTTTGACAGATTATTGCTAAGATATATATATATATATATATATATATATATATATATATGTCTTAACATATTGGGGTGAATAAATATTAGTTTACGATACATACCATCAAAATTACATTTGTTATATGACAAAATGTCTTTATGTTGCTAAACAAGAACTATACCAACATGGCAATTTCCTTTACTGAAGACCGATTTTTCAAGAGTTAAGTTTTAAACTAAATATTCCACTGCAATTAGGCACCACCCTGTTAAAACACCATCCCTCCATTTTGGCCCCATACCAAAACCACCAAACTGACCTGGCAATACGGGAACATATTATATTTTAAAAAACTTGACCGAATTCTCTCGGCCTTTACAATGAAATATTGCTTTCCATAAGAATATTTGGAATATTTGTAACCTAACCCTTTATTCGTTTGACTGGACTATCTTGGTATGTTGTTCCGTTTTAAAATGCTTTTTAGATACGTCAGGAACACATATATATATATATATATATATATATATATATATATATATATATATATATATATATATATATATATATATATATATATATATATATATATATATATATATATATATATATATATATATATATATATATTAGTTATAAAGATTTCTGACAGGTTATATGGACCTTAACATGTATAAACGTTCGTTTGTATATACGAGTATAACCCGGCTAAGGCGTTAGTTGATGGTTATATTGCAAATAATCGTATAACTATTTTTTCAAGAAAAATAAGCAAAGAAATATTTCATAAATCGACAGCAGCCGTGTATATAGATAATTTATATACATGTATAATATAATCATATAAATGTCACGATTATCTAATGGAGAAAGACGTTACAAACGTGCAGTATTATAAAGTCAAGGAGATTCCGTTTTTGTCGTTTCAATTCATTGCAGTGGTGTGAACAGTATATTTAAGAACTAAATGTATACTGTAGCTATTTCACAAACTAATTTTCAATGTTCTTGACAACTCCGATCTTTTTTCTTCTTACAAACATAAAATACCTAGAACAGAGAAATATCAAATAATTCAGGCTAAAATATGCGGTAGTATGATTTAATTTAGTCCAACATTGACTAGGTATTGACTGACTCGTATTTCATTTTCCAACTCTTACATTTTCCTGTGACTGCAGTAACACTCTAAGTGATTCATTTACTATTGTATTGACTAGCCTTCTGTAACGTTAAACTTGGGTAACTGGGACCTAGTCACAAATATATTTTTCCCCGGTAATCAGTGGAATATGATTCGTATTTTTCAACATTACAGATAGGGCATGAAATATCAAACTATTAGAAATAATCGATTTTGTATTTGTTTATTTAAAACCGTTCTCGGTTAACTAACCAATACTGGTGTAATATGAGGAAGTATATAGCCTTGTTCTGAGTGGTGTCGTATCCCATCAGTGGCGAGAATCTCATCAACTCTGATGCATGGCACCAAGGAAGACATGATCTTGCCCGACTTTAATAACATGGCTATAGATCTATGTTCTAAAAAGTGGATTGACATTAATAGGAAACAAACATTTTAGCCAGATATTTAATAATAATATAAAAATAGTCAAATCTGAAAAATGTATTGATTTTTTTATTAAGCGTATTCCAAAAAAAAATCAACTCTGTCGATATCTAAGGTATAAAACAGGACACAATGCTGATAAATTTATCAATAGAAGGGATCAAGTATTGTCATACGGATCATGTCTTTAGACTGTTAGGCGGCTGATAACCAGTCGCGGTAAATTTCACATACGAGACGAAAACAGTCTTAAAGTTACGTTACAATTGTAACGTACGTTACAATAAATAACGTGTCTCATTAATGTTACGTTACCCAAACAAGAATGAGAATATAGTGGGTTATCTGGCTTTATTTGTTTAAAACTGACCTGAGAGCAGAAGAATAAAAAACGTTAAGTTCACGTTGAATGACGACTTTCTAGTTTTCACTGAAAAACAAGTTTATAATAATTTTAGACAAACGTTGGAGTCTTGTTACAAAGATCCTAACGGTTTTTTTACTGTTTAAATAACGTATAATATGCATATATTGAGACTTCTGAATTATCAACTGTTTTAGTTTTGCATGGAATGTTATTAGAATTACTTATTTGCATTGCATTCACGTGCTCTCCTTGTGTCCGGTTCCGACAACTTCTTGTAAATGGTGTTTACCAATGGAGATTTTAGCACACGATAGCCGGGTTCCACTTGTAAGCCAGGGCATTTTACCAACCGGAGGTATGTTCATTGTGTCTATGACGTCATGCGAAGATGGATCAAACACGAGAACTTTTGACATTTCCTCCGTGTCCTTCACCTTTCTAGAACTAGTCACAATATAAAATATACCCTTAAACTGCACAACAGCAAATCTTTTTGGGTCAAAGTTTTTAATGTTTCCGATTAATGAAACTTCCTGGGTGTTCGTAATGCATGATATTCTTCCGTCAACAGATATCACGTACACGTTAGAATCGCACGTGACCGAGTGACAACCCAGCCCTGGTAACGTAATTGACGTCACAAGCGTTACCTGTTTAGCATAGGTGTCAAAACTTTGAACGGAGTCACTATATTCGCTGTGGGTACTGTTCCCTCCATAGATTAATATTTTCTGACCTGTCACAGCTGCGTTAGCGTAAGATATCTCTTCTGCTAGTTTCCCAGAACTTTCCCACAATCCATTATTGACCTGATATTCGTCGATTTCCTTGATTTTTGTGCTTCCTTCTCCACCCAGTACGTAAATAGAATCACCCACTGCAACCATAGCATGTTGGTACCTCCCATTTATCATTTTTGCCATTGGCAACCAAGAGCATGTTGCTGACTCAAATTTATGAAAAGTTTCACGATGATATTGGCCACCTGAAACGTAAATGTCATCCCCAAATGTACACATGGCGTAATAAGGTCCTACAGATTTTGGAAGTGGTGGTAAAGTATACCATTGTTTTCTTCCAAAACTGTAGCATCGCACTCCTGATCCGGAATATTCGGAAGTATCAGCTCCTCCTATGACAACCATCACATCATCTTGTCGACTTCCGGCTCTATTTGTCGTCTGCATCGACGTGTAATTTTGTTTCTGCGCCAAGCACATCCGGTATCTGAAAGCATTTTGGTATGCAGATATAGCTTCTGACAAATGCTTAACCTGTTCTGAATGGCTGAATATATTCATTATATAATCCGGAGAACAAAGTGGCAGACGGAGAATAGAAAGCAAATTTGAAGTATGAACTTTACGGTTTTTGTCGTCTGCTATCAGCCAATTCAAAGCAGCGTTGCAGACGACATCTTCTGATTTTGCAACGAGATTATCGTCTGCTAACAATGATTCAAAAGTATCATAGGGCAATAAATCAAGCTCTCCACTTGCGGACAAATCTTCAAAATGTTGCGTCATAAATTTCCAAATGAACTTAACTAAGCGCTGGCAGTTATATTTCTTAGCTAGATACCAAATATCTATAAAATTTTCAACTGAGAGTTTTTCCTTCAGATAATCTTCTATCCTTTCTATAATTACTTCTATTTGCATCATGGTTGAAATTTCTAACATATCTTGAATATTGTCGTCTGTTATAATGTCTCTACCATTATAAATAAGATCCAGTAGTAGCTCAAACACATCTGCTTTTGTCTCGTGAAATGTCACCACTGATTCTCGCGACTCTTTCATATCATGTGCAAACATGGCTGTGAAATATGGGGACACCGCGCATAAGATCGCTTTGTGACAATGGAACGAAACCCCTTCAACTTTAACGATTACGTCACAGTGTAATCCGGAACGCTGTTGCTCACGGAGGCTGTGTCCAAGAGATTCCAAGAATCTTAGCTTCCAAGCTTCTCCTGAAAATGAAAATCAAACGAGGTCGTTTTGAAAATTGCTTCAGATAAGTACATGCGAATGCCTTTATATCTGGAAAATGTTAATACGATTGCATATATATACCTTTTATAACTAATGAATGATTAAACATTAATTTTATATATTATGAAACAAGCTACACACTCTCGATATTTCCAATATTGTGTGCTATTTCTAAATATTTCTAAATTTGCAAATGTCTTAAATGGCTTACCCTTATTAGACTGTGTATTCAGCCCATCAGTCATACTTGTTATTTAATCGCTGATCTTTTATTCGTCTATGCTTTTAAGATATTCACTACTTCGTACTCTATAAAAGAATTTTCCAATTTCAAACGCGATGATAATGTTCCTCTTAGCTTTCTTATTTGTCGCAATTTTAATACTTGATACGTTTTTATGAACAAAACGTGGTTGATCAATTTCTAAACACTTGAGATACAATCACCGCGGAAAAAAACAAAACCTTTTATCGATAAAGATCATGTAGTAAGATTTTGTAAGGTAACAAGTCGATAAAATATATCCGTTGTAATTAATACATTGAGTGGCTAGGAAATGTGATATTCCAAAAGCTATTACCTTACCAAACGATAATCGATCATCTATCTACAAAGGAACGCGCACTTTCTACTTTTAATCGGTCATAAATTGGCATTAATGGACTATTAAAGATATGTGTTTAAGATAAACTGCAGATCTATCAGCAGAAAAAGTTGTTCATGTTGTTTGTTTTTAAGCAATAAAGTTTCAAGTGTTTGCATGTAACTGTCAAAAGCCCCCAATAAAACATCACCCTTGCTTTTAGGCTACCACTACGGGACTGATAAATGATATATACCTTAAGATACCTGTATATACAAATGTATGTGCGTGCGTGGAACCAGGTGAAAAGCAATTAAAGATTTGATGCACAGTTATGAGTACAAAAGTATGAAAAGAAAGAAAGAAATGATACAAGTATGAATATCTGGAAAAAATGTATCCCTCGGAAGCATTAAAAACAGCAAAATTACACGAAAATTGCAGACTTGGTTTGATTGAGTCTGTACATGAGGGATTAATGAAAAAGTGCAACATCCCTCACGCCCCCTAGCACCGGCTTGAGCTTAATACTTTAAAATGCTGGACTCAATGATCCTGAAGTACCAGAAAAATATTATAACACTGAAGTCTATGTTATGTGGTCACGCCTGGTAAAAATCAGAGTTTCGGAGGTATACGGTAAATTCTTTCTTCTTCCGAGCTAGTACATGTCGTCGAAGTTTTAATTAAGTGCCAATAAAGGTAAAGTGAACACTGTCCTATTATAATGTTTTGTAAACTGTGTCTCGAATATATAAAACAAAAAAAAGAATGCTATACGATTTAGATTTTATTAGTTTCCAGGAAACATAAAGTTGCTGATAATTCTTATTTGAACTAGTTGTGGCGACTTTTCCAATTGCATGAATTTAGCATCAAAATGAACTGTTTCATCGTGAAAAATAATGCTATTGCTATGTATTTTCATTTAAACAACAACCCAGGTTACATATTTACTCAATTGTTAAACTCAAAAAATAAAAATGAGCTTATACGTTTATCCAAATTTGTTAAAGAAGCTCTTTCCATTAGGTATGTACTTTCAACTGCTACTGTCTGATTACAATTAATGTTCATTCTCCAAATGTTTTGTTTTGATTCCAAAAATACCCATAAAAGCATCTTATTTAATTATAAAAGTAGATAGTAAATACACATTTTTCCATAGCTACATGTTTGTTTGTTTGTTTGTTTGTTTGATTGATAGATTGATTGATTGATTGATTGATTGATTGATTGCATGTTTGTTTGTTGTCATGAAACTATTGTATACGTAAAATGTGATATCCTGATTTTGTTTGTTAATTTTCATGCAGCTATTATACATATGTGAATGTAATGTATTGTAGATGATGTACTTTGTACAAGTCTTAATAAAATATCTGTTCTGTTCTGTTAAAAACGAAAACATCTCATGTAGATGTCTAAAATGAAAAAAAAACTGTGGTCGGTCTATGATTATCTTTCTTTCTTGACGCCGCATCGAAAGCCTTAATTCTTGTAGACAAAATAGCTCAATTGGACATGATGACCCTAACCCCTAAATGACCTTTACTCAATGGTCAAATGCCATTTATTTTTTTTATTTTATTAAAACGTCTTATTTTGAATTTTCTCGTTCTTCGTTGTTTTGTTTTTTTTTAATAATTTTACATCTGGTCATAGTTTATCAATCAGACTTATTTGTATGTTGATATTTTATATGAAATAAAACGAGCATGTTCACACCGTATTACCGGCACCAGTGATGATAGAACTCTAAAATTTAATGATTACTACAGGAAGGTTACAAACATGGTTGGTATACATGTATTTATATTATGCAAAACAAGTTAATTATATTGCTATAGACTTACTGGCCATTGACTAGTGGGATACTATCAGGTAATTTTGGACTCGTTTCCCCATTTCATGAAATGTTGGAGCGAGTTAAAAATGGCAGCTTCGGAAATCATTGAAAATACATTGTAGTTGTTTTTATTCAATATATCTATAGTTTGAAATAAATAGTGGGATTTCGAATCATACACAAAAACCGTCATCATTTAGGTTAGGTTAAACTTGTACATCTAATTGAACTACTCACTGAGAATGTGTACATTATATATACTTGTTTAAACCAATGTGTGCTATTTTGTGTATGAGCAATATATCCCTTCTAAAAACGAGATTTTCACCCAAAACAAAAAAGATCTCAGAACTAACTTTGGTACCTCAATGTATGAAATAAAAATACAAACCAAATTAGAACTTTGTTACTCTCATTAAGGAGTTAAAAAGCGTGGAAGAAGCTTCCGCACCAAATATATTTTTATCAGAGATATTCGACCGTGCGACCACATACACGCATCGAGGACATGTTAGGTGCGACCACATACACGCATCGCAGAATTCCCCTCCTCATACGAGAAAGGGAAAACAGAGGTGTCCGCCCCTTTATGAAAGGGCAGAGCTTAAATATATGCCATTTCCTTATTTGCTATTGATAAGAAGGGTAAGTTTCACCACCGTGGTATATACACAACTTTGTATCATAGTTTGGAGACCTATCTGTTGAAAATGTGTCAGGGTTAAATCGTATACATATACATGCACAGTGCGTTAACTGGAGTGCGGGTATTAGTTACCCGCACTCCAGAGCTAGCCCATTGATAGGCTCATTTTTGCTGGGGTTTACATACTGTGACGGCAGAGAAAGGGAAAGCGACAGAAATATCATATTCAGATGTTCGTTCATTGGTTCATTTTTGCCGGGGTTTCATGTTGTGACAACAGGGAACGTGCTTTTATGTTTGACTATGATACAAAAATGAAAGAACACCAAAACACTCGGCAATCTGATTAATACTCGGGGGCTACGCCCCCTCGTACAAATCAGATAGCCTCGTGTTTCGGTGCTCTTTCTATTACATAGTAATGCAAATCTAGTTGGGTATCAGTTTTCGTCCTTTTAAGTTTGCTATGATATTTTAAAAAGATCATATATAATTTCATGGGAAATCTTGAGTTTATAGCTTTTTCTTATTCTCATTTTATGTATATCATAGAATTATTTAATTTCTACAAAACATGAACTTAACAAAAACGTTTTATATGCATTAAATTTTGGAGATATATTTCACACTTTGCAAATATTATCCAGGGGGGCATTTATTTGACTTTGTGTACTTGTAATAGATAAGGTAGTGTGATGGGCTGTCATTAAACTTGAGCAGCCGACACTGCTGACACTGGTAAGACTGTACAGATTTGCAAGCCTGATCCTAAAAACAGCTAAATTTGTGGAATGGACTTTTCAAGCTTCCATTCAATGTTTAAACAAATTCTATTCTACATTTTCAATCTACTTATTATGTCGTTTTATTTGTAGCATAGGCCTTTAAACTTTCACTTGTAATTTAAGGTTAAGCGAAGCTCATCATTCAATTACAAGAATATGTATAAAAGTAGCCCTGTCTATGAACTCAACAGTGAATAACATAATAAATAAGGCTTCATAAAAAAGTTTTCATGTTAATTGCTCAGTGCAGTTTGATTGAGGTGAACCTTGTTGTGTCTTGATGCACCTACCGAATTAATATATTTTCTGTCATTAGAAAAATATAACAAATGATAATAAAAAGTCTAAATTGTGGATAAAGGTCCGTTAAAATTTTTTATAAAAGACTGATCTTGATTTTCTGTCCGAATGTTTTTTGTCCCTTTCAGAGCTTTCTGCAATAATCTTCACTTCGACCGGGCAAGATTGTACGCCAGTAACATTCTCAAGAAAAGACATGTACATTGGTTTGATATTTTGAATGCGTGTCCCTAAGTAATTATATATTATGTGTATAACACGAAATCTCTTAAATTCATTTTAAACTTAACATATCTTGAGCAAAATGATAACCATTTTCACGGATTTTTCCGAAGCTGCCATTTTAAAGTCGTTCAAAATTGTCGTATGAAATGGGTAAACGAGTCAAAATTTACCATAAAGTGGAGAGTAAGTATATAGCATGAAAACTTACTTTATTTGCGATATATATAAGTATACCAACTACTTGTAATAATTAATAAATCTTAGGTATCTGTGATCACTACAGCCATCTGTCATATCTGGTGCCGGTAATACGGGGTGAAGTTTAGTTTTCAGTATAAAAACGGAGCAGGTTTCGATTTTATGCTGCACCTTATTCACCAAAGTGCACGTGCGCAACCTACTTGAGAACCTTGTTCATTTGATAGACCGACGTTTGGTATAGTGACACTTCGGGCAAGGGTCGCGCGCACTTGGCGACTAATTAAAGGCAAAATGTTACATTAGGAAATGACTGTAAGTGCGATTTCCTCTTTTTGGCAGTTTGCTGTAATCACTTTTTGGGATCATCAGATTTTCAGTCCATATTTTACGACATAAAAGTATATATAATAAGGAATAATGAATAATATGTTAATCTATTGTGTTATTATTTATTTTTATTTTGAAATAGCGATTGGTAAGTTATTTTTTTGTTTTTAATTTTGATAAGAAAACTTTAAGAAGTTATAAATATTAAAATGTATCTGTGCGAATTTTTTATGTTTTATTTTAAATACAGTTTCTGAAAGTTGTCAGCGAGAAGCACAAATGCGATGCAACAAATGAAAACATCTATCAATACATATCATTCTGTCGAAGGCGGCAAATTTGGTGAAATATAAAAGGCCCATTATGCTCCAGAAATGCTTTTATTTTATTTATTTCTAAAAAACTTTTTTCTATTGTTGGTGTCCTGTTGTTTCCAGAAAAGTTACTAACTGGCCATAAACCCGAAACATCTTTTGCTTCTAAAGCCTTTCGACAATTATAGTGATTTAATATATTATTATGTATGGAAGTAATACTGCTTTATTTACATTTGGCTACTTATGTGCATAATTATTTCACTTTAGCCTTCCTATCTTCAGGTGATAAACATCTGACATGCTCTAAATTAATTTATAAGAAGTAATAAAAATCATATGAGCCGTGTCACGACAAAACCAACATAATGGGTTTGCGACCAGCATGAATCCAGACCAGCTTGCGCATCCGCGCAGTCTGATCAGGATCCATGCTGTTCGCTATCAGTTTCTATACTTGTTATAGGGTTTGTAAGCGAACAGCATGGATCCTGATCAGACTGCGCGGATGTTGGTTTTGTCGTGACACGGCTCATTTGCACTTATTTTTTATTCGTTTCTTTTTTATAATGTACCTTTAAGTTAATGCAAACTTATTTTCAGGTACAGTTTACATAAAATCCCGAGAGGTCAGTTCTTGGTCGTCTGCGCGTGAACATTGTACACTTTTTGGCGGTCACCTAGCAACGTTGAATGACTTCCAGGAATTTCGTACAAGTGTTCAAACAAAGCAGACGACACTAGATTCCGGCGAGGAATTGTGGGTAGGAGCCTCCTTGCAGAAGAGCCAGTGGAAGTGGAAAGGAGAAAATGCCGGTGTATTTAAAGGTACGTGTAAATTCTAGTATGTTTTGGACTTTTAGTCTTTATCAAATCGTTTTCACATTATTTGTGACAAAGCGGAAAGGAAGTACTGCTTTTAATTTGGAACATTTCATTAAAATCAAACGACATTCTAATATCATTAAAATACAAAAATTGAGCCGCCAGCCGCCAGTAGTATAGACCCTGGTCAGATTGTACTGTATGCATAATGACCTGATCTTACACTGGTAGCAAAGGCTAATTACTTTCTGATTCAGAATTAAATTTCTCTATTCTTTCATCATTTTAGCTGGCGGTCAGTTTTATGCAAGGGCAGGTTGTTTAGAACATGATTTGATTGACAATGGTACCCTGGTGGACAACCTAACCCCTGAAAAATGTCTAAATTTTTGTCATTGGCAAGGAGTTGTTGGTCTCCAGGTACGTTAATTCAACCTTAAATTTATATAAATCATACGCATCCATGGGTGTATTGGATTGGCCTATGTCGTGGATAGGTAAGGGTCGCTAGCAATGATTACCAGTTTTTCATTGTTACTGGTTTGAATCCTTCATTTCATGAGTTGTAAATATCGGGTGAGATAACGCATGTTGAGGGACGTCGGTGGTCATGTGACCAGTTGCAGGTGGAATAATGCACGCGGCTTCGATGTCTTCTTACAGCAGTAAAGTCTGCTAGGTGACCTTAATACAGTCATGTTAATATTGACATTAACATCTTTATATTCTCCTTATGCTCTGTTTTTGATAGACCTTACAAACTTAAAGTTTTCTTTCATCTTGCTGGCTGTAATTTTGTGTATTCAAAAGCACGTTTGTCTTTGTTGCCAATGACAACAGACAAAATCATTTGAAGAATGTGTGTTTATTAATACATTTCGTATATTACAATTTAAATATTTATAATACATTGATTTTGAAGATGGCACTCAACACAATACTTATACACTATATGAATATGTCTACAAGTTTATCATCGTCGGATACCCAGGTCGAACCGTGAACATTATCAACCGTGGGTATCCGCTGATGCAAGTTTATAATTTTCATCAATTATTGTTTCAGAATGATAGATGTTTCTGCGGCGATGAGCTGAATGTGTCTAGCAGTCGACCTGGGGTGTGTCATATAAAATGTGATCCAAACCATTCGGAAATGTGCGGAGGTTATTCATCGGTCTCTCTCTATAAACCAGGTATATAGCAGACGACAAACGTGCTGTGCTCATGTCTTTGCAATCAACTTAAAATTTAACCTTCGTTTAGTTGTTGTTATGTTTTATCAAATGGCATCGTCGGATACCCACGATTGATAAACATGTAACATGACATTAAATCCATGTTAATGTTTCGGTCGTGGGTATACGACGATGCTCGACATGATGCCCATGCTTGTGTCAATGGTAAGTATCCTGGAAAAAGAAATAATAACTTTATATTTTGTCATACATTGTGTAATTGCTTTTATTCATTATTTTGTTAAACATAAAGAATCAATTATTTACGTGACTTACAGGAATTTTTATAAAATAACATCCGTAAGTTATTGCTAACGCTCATTTGATAACAAGAGTGGGACATGGGTTTTTAAGCAGTTTATATATTTTATCCCAATCATTTCTGATTTTCAATTATTGGTCAATCCCACTTATAATAAACAATCTTTTTTTTAAAATCTATAGCTATTCAGCTCAGCTTGACAATGAAAAAAAATAGCATAATTTCGCTGAAAGGGATGAGTTTACTTAAAAAATAAATAAGTTTAAACTTATTTGTAAAGAAGCCTTGCATTTGACTAAAACCACCCTGGAACTAGTCAATCTTTCGAGGTTACCTATCCCAATAAAAGAATGACTTTAAGCTACCGTTATTGGTCTAGAAATCACCGGGCCTTGTGACCGATGCAATACTTGAAACTTTAAGTTAACGACTTAGTGTTCGATGTATAAATTACTTACATGTATAAGCTACAATTTATTTAATTAATTAATTGTCACTTTTTACTTTTAAAATCTACTTCACGTATAAAGGTCTGACATTTATCTGTACGCGATACATAGAACTACTGTAAAGTTACAAATACTTTTATCTCACCATACGGTATAAGAAATGACGTGATAAAATACATATTCTTAATGACATATATTGCTAGCACAAATATACGCTACATGATGAAATATAATCTATATCACATTTTAAATAAAAATGCATGGCATGAAATGACATAAATAGAATAATATTAATTCAATGTGAATTTATAAAAGATGTTATACTTGAATGACCTTTGTAAAAATGTCATGTTTTAGGTGATCTGTAATTGATAAGAATGTACTTACATAAATGACTGTGATTTGAGAACTGTGGTATAGATTGTTTAACAATACTATATATGGCTTTTTATGTTGTATTATGATGTTATTATACATTGTTGAGTGTGATACTGAACTCTATTTGATTAGACGAGTGCACGGCTGTTAAACCAATATTGCCGAGTCCAATATAGGTTTTAAAACATAGGATCGGTATGGTACTCAGCAATATAAAATGAATTCTATAATAAACTCTTTATTTAATACCACCAATTCTTATGGAGAAAAAGCATTAAATTAAAAAAGGGATTTTTAGGTTTATTGTCTTTTGCCGACTAAATAGTACTTAGTGCTTTATACGTTTGCAGGGACTCAAAGAATATCTTGGGCAAAAGAAGAACCAAAGATTGAAAACAATTGTGTATTCCTCCGCAAAGGAGGGAGATACAGTGATGTTGAATACGTCAGTGGTAATTGTGACATGCGTGCGAGATTTCTGTGTAGTTTCTATGACAACGAAGTTTGTGGGTTATACCACACGTGCTTCCGGTGGTCGACCACCCAGGCTACATGGGACATTGCTGTGCAGAGATGTGAGCAGCTGAACGGAAGTCTAGCAGAATTATCAAGATCTGGAAAAGAAGATATAAGTAAAGGAATGGGTAGGCTACCTCCCGGGATCTTCTGGGTGGCTTTAAGGCGTGACAGTGATTGGCAGTGGATAAATGGTGAGCGGTAGTAGGGGTATACTTAAACTTGAACCTTTTCGGATAACTATTAAATAATAACTAATAAATACAAGGTTCATAATTCTGGTAGCTGCTAATTCTGGTGTGTAAGGTCGAAAATTACACTGTTTTGTTGTTTGTTGCTTCTTAAATAATTTCTTTCATTGAAAAATAGATTTACTCAAAAGTTTATGTAATATTAACACGTGACAGACAGCCATTTCCCTGTTCTCTTTTCCCCTTAATTTTATAATTACCTTAACACAGTTTTGGTGCATATCAGTTTTGTTATAATGATACAAAGGTAAACAAGCATTTTCCCATTTTCAGGCGGAAATGTGAACTCTTTACTGTTTCATTTCGGAAAAGGTGTCGCCCAGGATCAAACATGCTCTGCGGTAACAAATGTAAACGGGGTCATAGCATTGGTGGCAGGACGTTGTGACTCGCAGAAACACTACCTTTGTCAGTATGGTAAGTAAGAAACATGTATTTAAAAAAGAATTGGTTAGGTTTTACTTCAACTTTCCAGCTTCACTGGTGGAGGACGACCTAAGGTCTCTTTTCGTGCATTATATCAGTCACGAACGGACACCTGGGTAAAACCACAGTTTTAAGATTAAAAAAAAATAACGGGGATAAGTGTAAATTTTCAAATTGAAATTGCGCAATTGATTGGTCACATGAATACGTCATTGATTGTCCATCTTTTAGATTTCAGGAAAACGAAACATTTGGCAGCTTGAAAACCGGAAGCCGTCCGACTGGGCAAAACCTATAGGGTTTTGGGGGAAACTACAAGTATTGTCTTGGCGGCACGAGAAAAATGGGCAACGGGAATTTCCATACAATATCCATGACAGACTGATTCACCCCAACCGTCGTCTTCCAAAAACAGTTTTTGTTTTCTTTTATTAAACTTAAATACAGATCGCAAAAAAATGCACACTACTTAAAAACTATTTTTTGCCGGTAAAAAAAATCTTACTAACGACAAAAAGAAAATGTTGAGAAAATACGTATTAATATCAAAGAAAAAGACATGAATCACATTATTATTTATATAAAACAGGACATAAACCAACAGATATGCATGTTTTCAAACCACGTAAATCCCATTTTAGATAATTCAAAAGTCTAAAAAATACCATCGGCATTTAAATGAATTTGTGCGGTGAATTATGATAAAAAAGCAGGTGTAATTATAAATAAAGGATAGTGTTTCTATCTAGTCATCAATCATAAAAGTTACAAGTATACACAAATTTCCCAAAAGATAAAAATTACCCGGATGTTGCCGGTTTTTGCAGCGACTAAATGCGGAACTACGCAGAATATGCACTATTTTCGCTCATTACTGGCCTACTTGCTTGCTTCTGATTATTAAATTATTTCAATGATCCTGTATGTTGTAATTAATGATGTAACCACACTTAAGTGAAATTTTATATATGTATATAATTATTCTTCTAAAACAATTTCTTAACATCCAAGAATATGTTAAATATGTACTGCAATTGTTTATTCGCATTATAAGTAATCATTAAAATATATGCATGAAAATTTTGGACAACAAATTTCGAATTCCCTCCCTTTATTTATATGAAATTTAAATTCGGTAAAATCTTTACAAATAATGCTTTTTGGAACTTAAAATATTGATAAATCTTCATTTGAGCATCAGATTTATGATATAAACCATAAAAAAAAAGAAAAACCGGATCTTTAAAGGGACACCATGGAGGCTTTTTTTTCACATGATGGGGCGTGAAATATTTTTTCGGGATTAATCTTACATTTGAAGTAGGTATAGATCAATAAGTTGTGTGCAAAATTTCAGAATGATCACACACTTCGTTTTTCCAAAATAAGTATTACTAATGTGAAAAAATGACCCAAAATTGAGAAAATGGTGTAACACATGTCACTCAATCATTTCACTCAATAGTGCTAACAATAGCAAAGAATACGATTTTCTATTTACTAGTATTTCTTTATATATTCTCAGTTATCTTTTGCAATCTTTTCTGTTTTAAGTGCCCCAGCTGATCTATGTAAGAAATTCAAATTTTATTGATTTAGGCCTTTAAATCTCAGTGGAGTTCCTTTAAAATGCAACCCTAACATTTGAACAGTGTATTTTACTGTGTTTTACAGGTATGTATATGGTCCTCGGCTTCGTTTCCGGTATGGTATGCGTACTTATCATCGGCTTGATAGTCTACCTTATATGCAGGTAATATCCACAAAGATATGGATCCGGAAATAAAAGTTTCATCTTCTTTGTTAATTGCTTATTTTCTACAATACGTACTTCCAGAGGGGTTTGAACATATATTTTTGAGATTTTGTTTTCTCTGTTGCCACTATGAGGGATGGGGATTTAGATTTGCCACTGTCTGTCTGTCTGTTCTCATGTTGTGTCACTGTAGCTCTTACAGTGCTTGAGTTAGAGTCAACAAAATTTACAGTATGTTCATCAGCAAGTGAAGTTGTGCGCATAGATTTTCTTCAGTTTGTTTGAGTTATTTCCCTTGACTTAGTATTGTGTTAGGCAATTTTCAACTTATTCGTAAGTAGCTCAAAAAGTATTTGACCTGGAGTCCTGAAACTTTAAAAGAATGTTGGTCAGCATGTATAGTTATGCACCTAGGTTTTGCTTGTGGATTTATTTATTTGCATCGACTTAGTGTAATTTTGCAATTTTAACTTGTGTTCTGTGAAGGCCCCAATTTTTTTTACACTCGACATATCCGTAAATTCGTCATACTAAAAAGGTAAGAACATATACATGTATGTACAAAAAATCTGATAAATTTAAAAGTTGGTCATTAAAACTGACTGAGTTGCGACTCTATGACTGCAGATGTTATATTTACAGTTCTTGCATTAAGGCTATAGTGAAAAGGTTACAAATGATTCTTTGTTATTATTTTAGGTGTAGACAACCCGCAGACGACAAACATTCCCGATTAAACGACCAGACAAATGATCAAAATGATGACCATAGCGTTCACTACAGTTCAAAAGACGACTCCGTCCATATTTCCCCGCCTCATTCCGATATTACTTACGATACAGTGTATGATTTGGAAACGGAATCACCATTTCGTCGAACGCAACGCCTCATTCGGATGGGTTCAGCTAATTCTTGGAGACATGCGCAGACACGTCGAATGCCAACGGATGTCAATGATCCCCCAGAAGCCGGTTACACGTGGCGGGGTATGATTGGTGGAGACGTTGAAATAATAAACACGGAATTACGTCTTCATGGAATAGACCAATCGCTTGCTAACAGATATGATGAAGCCTCAGGTTATGGAAGCGCGCACGCGATTGTCGAGCACCAAGGTGCCCGTAGAGCAGACGACAGGAGTGACTTTGACGAAATTGAAGCGTTGTATGATTTACCAGAACGCTCAGACAGTTTTGACTTTGAAAAAGGCAAGCGTAGGAGCGGTAAAAATCCACGGATTCCGACTGACCCCAGATTCCTGGAAATCCGCACGTCTCGAAGTTCCGAATCAAACGAAGAAAATATCTATGCAACCATTAAGAAAACATTTCAGAAGATTAAAGACGAAATGGCCGAAGAGGCGAAAAAATCTGCCGAGGATGATGAAGATTTAGATAAAATGACTTACACAGTGAAATTAAATTAACAGTTTTTGTCATACTTGACATTTTTCCAAGGTGACAGAATTGGATTTAAGTTGATTTATTATATCTATTTATTACATCTTTGTGTTATTTACAGCTTTTACTGACTTTATTTGGACAAATATGAATGCTTTAAGCGATAAATGACAGAGCGTACTTCGTCTTTTGACATATTTTACACCAATGCATATTAACTACATAATTTTACCTACTTATTTATTACTTATTATAATAGGTTGCTATGGAGATGGACCAATAGAAGCAGTAGTCACCTTTAAAGGCACGTGACTGATCCTCTTATTCAAAACCTAATCGCAATAAGAGTACTATTTATAGGGGGAGAGTTTAATTTATTCAGCAATTAACTAATAACTCAGGGATTGCAAGTTCGATCCCTGGCTTCACGACTAACAATACTAATGCTGTTTCGAATGAGACTTTAAACGAGTAAAGGAATCAGGGTCGCGTCTGGAACGGGGCTACTGCTGTACATATGCACTGGTCCTATAGCCTATACACCTTCAGCGGAATTTCAGACAGTATAATTAATGGGCAACCAAAATGCGACAGTAAACAAACAGGAAGTGTAACTGACAAGATCAAGCTATACGATATTAGCTACCTAAATTGTATTAGTATTCTTATATATAACAAACGTAATCTTGGACAGTTCCAAATTAAAACCAGGAGAAGTACATTGCACAAAAATGACTGAGCTGCAGTTATGGCAATCAACACGGACAAACTGAACTTTGTATGTTATTGTATATACAATTATACATGTGTAACATGTTCAAAATATTACATCATGCGATATTGAATTTATGAACAAAAATGGAATTTATAAGATATTTTTTTGTTGAAATCTGTCTCAATTAGTTTTACAAGTAGGACTAATACAATCAGGAAAAAAGCCAATGGACACGTACGTGCACGTGTAATTAACAATTTATCTGATAATTCAAATAATTGATTGATTGATTGATTAATTAATTAATTAATAAAAAGATTTAAGCTTCTGCCAATATAAGTCTAAATTTGGTCTGTATGTAAATCTAACTAGTTAATAAATCTTTTTTTTTTCATAAATGAATTTGGTATTAAAAAAGATAGGTAAAATCTTCCGGTCCGGCCGTGCGTCCATGGTGACTTAAAGACCGCAATTTTATAGCTGAAGGCTATACTTTTGAGACCTTGATGTTTAGAAAAAGTATCAATGATCTATGTTAGTCGAGAAAAAAGATTTTTAAAAATGATGCTAGTTAAGATCGTATATGTGCAAGCACGTGCTAAACGTCAAAAATTTGTTTTCCCTTTAAAAAGACATTTCCTTTTTATTTTTTTTTTACAAAAACATGCAGGTTGGCATTAAAAAAAATTTTGGAAAATCAAAGTTGGGTTTAAAAAAAAAAATTTAAAACAAAAAGGTTTTGGGAAAAACCCCGGTTTTTTTTTAAAACCCCTTTTCTAAATTTTGTAAAAATTTTTGGCCTTAAATTTGGAAAAATGTCCCCTTTTTGGTTAGCAAATTATTTTTTTCCTATTACAAATATTATATGTTTTTACGGGTATCAGTGATCTATTTTAGTTGGGAAAAAAAGGGGGTTTTTAAAAAATTTGATGCTATTTAAAAGGATCCAAATCTTTATATGGGGAAAAGGCACGTCCCAAAACGTCCCCAAAATGATTTTTACTTGAAAAATTCCTATTATTTTTTTTTTACAAAAAAAGCTTTTTGGGCCTTTAAAAAAAATGGAAATAAAATTTTGGTTTAAAAAAAAAAAAAATGTTTTTTTAATTTTCTTTAAAACAGAATTTTAGGAAATCTTTTTTTTTAAAAGCCTTTCTAAATTTTTGTGAAAAAATTTTTTTGGCCTCCCTATTTGGAAAAATTTCCCACCATTAGTTATTTTTATTACTTTAAAAACCTTTTTTAATATAACAAAATTTTCCTTTCCAGATATGTCATCAGGAGTTGTGTGGGGAATTATTTTGTAAATATTCTATAAATATCCCGTAAAATAACACTCGATGCAAGTATGTTGAAACATTCTGTCGGTTTACATGATCAACTGATCCTTGCGATTTTGTCTAATTACTTCCTTTCAATAAAAGTTCCGACAGTACGTAATTTTATATAGATCTAACCATATAAAAAAGAAACAGTTTTGTTTATTTTGTTTTTTAAAATTTTGATTTATAAAGAAAATAAACCAAAGTCAAAACGATATTTTCGGTATTTGTTGTTTTACGTGTAGATTCTAAAACCTTTGATTTGTTTATCAACGAAAATCGATCACTTATGCAAAATGTATGTGAAGGTCAACCTGTTCACGAGTGAATGTTCGTTTTAGGTTCAAAAAGGAACATTCCTTTTCATTAAATGCTCACCGATCGCGCATATTTTTAAAACTCCTTTAGTGGGGGGCAAAAACTAAATTCCCCCTTTTACCTGTATTTTCTAACTGTGGAGATAATGCAAAAAAAATATTTGAAAAAGGGTATAGAGATTAAAATTTTTTACATCCGCCCTTTTTTTTTCCATACTAAAATGTATTTAAAATTGGAAATGGCCCTTGGGGACATTTTTTTATGAGCCCCTTTGGGACTGCTAGAAAAATAACCTACTTAAATTACTTTTTTTTACACCCCCCTTTAACCCCACGCGGGCAGCACAAAAATGGACACAGCCGAAGAAAAACTTTTGGTTTACCCCAAAAATTAAACCCCAAACCCCAAGTTTTTGGAATTTTTTGAAAAGGGGGAACCCCCAATCGATAAAATTATAGGGGGGGAAAAAAGGAAAGGGAAAAATTTTTTGTTCGTTTGGCTCATTCATCATTTTCCCTTTTAAATAATTGTTAAAATGCTGGAATTACACATTTCAAACAATTGGCAGGTGCCCTCTAAATTGGTTACTGATGGGATTGAACTTGCTGCCACATGGGTGCCTCCCGGTGAGCTACCCCCGGACTTTTGTGAAAGTGATCCCCTTCAATGTGACATAGAGCCCGATGGGCCAAAGGTGTTTGAATTTGGCAGCTTTTCTAGTGAAAGCTTCGATAGTTTCTGGGATGAGGATGATGACGTCACTGAAGCTGCTGAAACTGGTCCAGTCTGGTCTGGTGGGTTACTATAGAACTAATCTTTGTTGTACTACAGAGTGTGTTACCTTCAAATCGGGCGGGAAAAGGGTTCTTTGAGACCTATTTCCATTATATAACAACTAAAAAATAAAACAAAAACCGCGAGCATTAATTGTTAGTTACCTTAAAAGGAATTTTGAATAAATTAAAAAAATTATGGTAGAATAAAATAGTTCTATATTACATTGAATTAATCATGGCGTATGATTAATATTTTAAGTATATTACTACTTAGATCTAATATATAAATGTTAAAATCTAGAATTATTATAGAGCTAGTATAAAGAAATTACTTGAATATATACCCATTAATTAACTCTTTATCTACCATAGGTTGCAAGTGTAGCAGTCAATTTACATACCCCTCAAAGGCAGTGTAACATGAAACCATAAGTTTAAATACTTTTGTCTTCATCAAATTTAAATAAATGTTCACAGATGTTTACTATTTATCCAAAAATCCAACGAAAAAAGGCAAGAATTTTAGGATTGTTTGAAAATGGAAATATTTCTTAATTAAGTTCATTCCACTTTCCAGAAATTTTGAAAAGCTTATGGTTTCAGCAAACTATTATAATTTTAAACAAACATATCTAAGCAAGAGTCGACTTTGTTTAAATGGTAGGATAATTGATTTAAAGTACTCTTGTTAAAAAACTTTGTCAATACCTTGATTATACATGTATAATCATAATGTGCTTTCTTATAGATTCTTGCTTTTCAGAGCAAATAAAGGTATGGTAAGTGATTTGATAATTAATTTATTCCATATAATTTTAATATAGATTTAATTTATTTGAATTTTCATAAAGTGCATGCTGATTTCAACAATCACAACTCTAAAAATAAATAAATCTGCTTTAATAGGTCATGGTGGTAGAAATTAGATTTTATACATTTTGAAAGCCTTTGGGGGTATTTAAACATAAAACTTTTCTCCTTTCAGCTGCAGTGGATGCTGGACATAACATGTTCATTTATTTATACATATTAGATTTTTTAGTTTTGCTATACTGTTATTTTAATAGCATCATTACTTGTTGTTTTTATAGAACTTGACACCTGTGGCCGGATCAGATATGTGTTGGTACGATGTGTTGGAAAGTTTGTGGCCCTTCTGGCACTACTCTACATCTTCATCTGTTCACTGGACTTCCTTAGTTCAGCCTTCAGAATTCTTGGTGGGAAAACTGCAGGTTGGTTTTTACTTCATGACTAATTAATGTTCCAGTAAAAATCTTGAGAAACATATAAATTTTTATGCCCCCGCCATATAATGGCAGGGGCATATTGTGTTACCCTGTTCCGTCATTCCGTCCTTCCGTCATCATCAGTTTCCGTTCATTATCTTAATAACCCTTGCACATATTGAACTCAAATTTGACATATGGATATGTCATGAGAAAATACAGGTCAAGTTCGAAATTGGTCATGGTTCAATGATTTTTGGCAGAGTTATGCCCCTTTTACATTGAAAATAATATGAAATTTTCAGTTTCCGTTCATTATCTTCCAAACGGTTCAAAACATTCTATTCAAAATTGACATATGGATATGTAATGAGAAAATACAGGTCAAGTTCGAAATTGGTCATGGTTCGATGATTTTTGGCAGAGTTATGCCCCTTTTACTTTGAAAATAATATGAAATTTTCAGTTTCCGTTCATTATCTCCCAAACGGTTCAAAACATTCTATTCAAAATTGACATATGGATATGTCATGGGAAAATACAGGTCAAGTTCAAATTTGGTCATGGTTCGATGATTTTTGGCAGAGTTATGCCCCTTTTACTTTGAAAATAATATGAAATTTTCAGTTTCCGTTCATTAACTCCCCAATGGTACAACACATTCAACTCAAACTTGACATATGGATACGTCAAAGGAATGCGCAGGTCAAGTTCAAATTTGGTCATGGTTCAATGATTTTTGGCAGAGTTATGCCCCTTTCACTTTGAAAATAATATGAAATTTTCAGTTTCCGTTCATTATTTCCCCAATCGTACAACACATTTAGCTCAAACTTGACATATCAATACGTCAAAGGAATGCGCAGGTCAAGTTCAAATTTGGTCATGGTTCGATGATTTTTAATAGAGTTATGCCCCTTTTACTTTGAAAATAATATGAAATTTTCAGTTTCTGTTTATTATCTCCCAAACAGTATTAAACATTCAACTCAAATTTGACATATTGATACGCCAAAGGAATGCGCAGGTCAATTTCAAATTTGGTCATGGTTCGATGATTTTTGGCAGAGTAATGCCCCTTTCACTTTGAAAATGATATGAAATTTACAGTTTCTGTTCATTATCAACCCAACAGTGTTACATATTCAACTCAAAATTGACATATGGATATGTCAAAGGAATGGGCAGGTCAAGTTGGAATTTGGTCATGGTTCGATGATTTTTTGGCAGAGTTATGTCCCTTTCACTTTGAAAATAATATAGATACATCTTAGGAATAAGCAGTTTAAGTTTGAATTGGGTCGTGGTTCAATGATTTTAGACAAACTTATCTTTCCTGAATGTTGGAAAAATTTTGAACTTTCAGTTTCAGCACTCATACTTTTGTGGAAATGTATATAGCCATTATGTTGGCTACAAATATGCAATATGCTATTTTTAAAAGGTTAAGACTGAATAATTTCAGTGCCTTGAACATTGTATAAAAATGGTTAAGACTGAATAATTTCAGTGCCTTGAACATTGTATAAAAATGGTTTGTGTTAACATTGAAAAGTTTTAAGGGCTTTGAACTTAGAATGAAAAAAATAATTTGTGCAAACAAATTTGGAACTAAATATTATAACATTTGAAATTTTGGCTGCATGCGGGGGCATCCGTGGCATGATGACACATTTCTAGTTTCTGATTAAATTTCTGCCAGTCTTGTGAAGTTTTAAGGTCTGTTCAGAAATTAATATTGCAATCCACTAGCACAGACTATGTGTCTATGCTAATACAGGGGTTTATATTGTATTATAATTCATATAAAGAAACTATGAATGTATAAATCTATAGTTTACTCAAGAATTTTACCAGTGGTAATGACTGGGCATTATCTTAACTTCAGATTTTAGATGATTTAGATTTATGGATATTGCTCCCTTGCAAGTAATTAATTTTAATAATTATGTAGTTTAGTTTAGTTTAGTATTCTGATTAAATCTTTTATCTACACATCAGAGCAAGGTCTTTCAAAATTCTATTGGAAAGACCCTGATTTATATAATAGAGTTATTGTAGTTTTGTTTGAATTAACAGGATTGGCTTTGAAAAATGACTAATAGATACACTTCATTTGATTTTTAGTTCAAACAATTTAAACTTGGTCTAATTTTTGGCACGACTGAATGTCTAAATTTGATAACACATTTTTGTAATATTGTTTTAAAGAAGGTCAAGAATTTTGTAGAACAATGTGTGTAAATTAATGTAATATGCTGAATTTTCAGGTGGGGTGTTTAACAACAGTGAGATCCTAGGAAACCCAATAGCTGGACTCATGATAGGCATACTGTCTACTGTTCTGGTTCAAAGTTCAAGCACTTCAACATCTGTAATTGTTACCATGGTTGCATCTGGAAGTGAGTGAACATTTTAAATTGTTAAAATTTAAGTCATTCTTTCTATTGAAACATGGAATAGATATGAAGCATTGAAACAAACAATATAAAGTTGAATTAGGTACAGCAATATCGTTCTTTACTTGGTTAATTTGCTCATTAAAATAAATCAACATTTAAGATTTTATCAAATTCTTTGTTTTAACAACCTTTCAGGTTATGAAGTTTTTTAATGTATAGTATTTAGATGTCTATGTTAAAAATTATGATCATTTGGTTTTAGTTTATTTTAATTCCTTAATTTTGAAAATAATAAATGCAGCTTTTTTGGGATAAAGTTGGCATCATGTCAGTCTGTGCCTATCGAACATCTAATGAAAAAGTATATATACTCATGTTTAAAATGTTTTATACTTCAGTAATGAAAGTGGAGCCAGCTATTCCAATGATAATGGGAGCTAATATTGGTACCAGCGTAACAAACACCATAGTCTCTATGGCACAGTCAAGTGACAGGCGCGAGTTCCGACGGGCATTTGCCGGAGCGACTGTGCATGACATGTTTAACTGGCTTACGGTCATAGTGTTACTTCCTCTGGAGTGGGCAACTGGTAAGTACTTTCTTATTCTTTTATTATTCATGTAACTGAATAATTATTCAAATTACATCCGACAGAAGAAATGACTTTCCAGTATAATTCATTGTTTGTAATTCAACCATTTCAAATGTTAAGGGTATTAAAATGATTACGTACAAAATGTCAAACATTGGAATGGAAAGATCATTTAAATATCTGAGTGACTTTATTTCATTAAACTGTTTGACGCAATTTGAAAGGTCAAACCTATCCCAGAGGATTAATGGATTAACCTTGATCATTTAATCTTGTTTGAACCTTGAAAGGACATTTGTTATAAAAGGACTTTGAATATAATTGTTTGAAGTTAAAACTTACAGTAATACTACCTTCCTTTAAGAATTTTTCAAATATTTTGTGTATCAAATTACATGTATTCAGTTTAAACAATTATCAATGGGCAGATAATCATGTGTTACTAGTGTGAATATCTAATGATAATTAGCTCCCTTCTAATTCTTACATTTTACCCAATTTTTTTTTTTTTTTTTTTTTTTAAAGAAAATTCAAAGTGTAGACCATATTCACCTCTGGTGTGTCCAAAAGTGAATTGTAGTTTTGTCCCACACTTGTTACAGTCTGTTTTCAAAATCTCAGGATTTTTTCACAGGATATTTGGCTAAATTCACTGACTTGATTGTTAGAGCCTGCAAATTGGAAAGTTCTGAAAGCTCTAATCAAGAACTATTGAAAGCTTTGACAAAACCTTTCACTAGTATGGTTGTGCAGGTAAAATGACATTGATATTATTACACATTATGCCTCAGAAACAAATATATTTTTATACATGTTAAATAATGGTTTTAGACAATGTTAGATGCTCTTTACCTGAAGAAAGTAAAGATTAATGTGAAATGATTTGTCATAAAAGTATTTGACATAAAAGTAGCAAAATGTTTTAAAACAAAAAAGTATTTTGACTTTCATACAAAATACTAATTCATTATAACTGTACATATTGCCAAAAGGCAACAGATGAAAAAGAGGGTTGGTGTATTAGTAACTTTTTGGATACTGTAAAAGTACACACACAAAAACTTTTGAGAAATAAAATATAAAAACATTTCTGAGGCATAATGGGCCTTTAAATAAAGTAAATATTATTGATTACATGACAGTTCACATGACAAAATGCATGTAAACACTCCTTGTTTCTGAAGGAAGTACATGTACTTAAGGTCTCAAATTTGATACCTCAAGTCAAATGTGGTTATGTTTGGTTTCATCCAGTTTTAGATTTCAGTTTAATAATCGGAACAATAAATTTAAATTGTAATAAAATAGTATTTACCACAGTCTGTTTTTATAAACAACATGTAGTAAAAGTTTTTTGTCAAGTAAACAAGTCACTGTTGCAGGAATACACTGTATTATTGTTTGACTTCTCATTGAATGACTATACAGATCAATTTATCAATTAGGGGAGTGATGGCTAGCCAATATTAAATAAACATGATATGAGTCGTACAATATTTCCTTTAATAGTACCAACACATGCATAATTACAGCATCACAATGTGTTATTAACATGTTTGCATGATTACAACACCACAAGTTGTTTGGGGATTTTAGATTTTATTTCATTTCAGGGTTCACAAGATAGTTAAAATTTATCACGATGAGTTTGAAATAAATCAGGTTTCTGGGGGGGGGGGGGGGTATCACGATGAGTTTGAAATAAATCAGGTTTCTTGGGGGGGGGGGGTATCAAAATAAGTGTAAAAGTCTAAATCAAAGTTATGTTTTGTGTTTTGCTATGTTTAAATGTTTAAGGGTATTATTATAAATGATATCATTGATTTCAATGTTTATAGTTATAACTGGTAATAACCAAAATGAATTATTTTTCAGGTTGATAAGAAAGTAATTACCAAGATTGCAGAAGGTCATGAAGAGTATAGGAATAAATCTCTCATTAAGGTAAATATAACATTTTATTTCATGCTTTCCAGTGTTTTATTGTAATATATCAGATGATTATATTCTGATAAACCACTAGTGAAATTAATAAAATATAATTTTCACTGTAGCCGGACTATATCTGAATACGGATGAAAAGAAAATCATAACTAAATGAAATAACAGGCAGAAATAAATGCCGATATGCGTAAATTTTGCTTCTTTAGGAAAAGAAAAATCGATGTCATCATACATCATGTTAAAAATATAACAAAATTAGAGAAATTTAACAGACCTATATTTTAAAATTCATGATGTGACGTCATGATGTGATGACGTCACAAAGGAGAATGCGTGACGTTACGCGGCAAAATCAGTAAAAATTACTTAAAAGCACTTAAAAAGCATGAAATAAAAAGAAAATTTATTTGTTTTACATATAAGATTGAAATATATTTCATTCGTGAACAACAGCTATTATATTTTCACTCGTGGCTACGCCACTCGTGAAAATATTGCATCTGGTGTTCACCCAGTGAAATTATATTTCAATCTTGCATGCAAAACAAACAAATATCCTCTATGAAATAAATTAACCCATAATTACCACCATAAATATCTTAAATGCACTTGTCCATTTTTCAATATGGCCAAAAATATTCTGACTAAATTAATAGTAAACACTGCCAACCATGATCAGGCTTTACTTTTTTCATTATACTTTCCACTTTCATTTTTAAAGTTTTAACATTTTGTACTTGTAAAAACCTATTTAGACTTTTAGATTTTAAGAAATACAGGTCTTTTGGTGACTGGCTTCCTGTTATATTTTGCACTTTATAGTCTTACAAGTAAGGAGTAAGCTTAAAAAAGTTATTTTTAAAAGCATGTATAGATCATTATTTTTTTGTTTCAGAAATTCTGTGTATTTGAGGAACAGGAAGTGTTGAAGAACGTAACTATGGAAACTAATGTAACTCTTATAGTAAATGGAACAACAACAACACAATTACTGAACACTACCATGCTTGTAAATGTTACAGAAGAAATACCAGTGGAGAAATGTAAGCTATTTTGAATTTCTTAACACAAGTCATCTTTTTTCGTTTATCAACTTTGTATTTCCTAGCCACTAGTAGCGTTTTTAGGCATTTTGCTTTTCAATAATTTTGATATACCATATTTAGTTTTCTTTCTATGAATACCTTTTAAACCTTTTGATTTATTTTGATAATTCAGCTTAATTCAACATCTTAACTTTATTATTGAAATGAATTTTAATTACACATTTTGATGTTGTATTAAATGTAGAAGTAATGGTATAATATAAAGATCGAGTTATACAATCTCCTCTTTTGTTTCTTCAGGTTACAGCTTATTCAGTCACCTGGATATAAACGAGACGGTCGCTGGTGTGATACTACTTGCTTTCTCCCTCCTTATCTTGTGCACCTGCCTCGTTGGTATGGTCAAACTTCTACATTCCATGTTACAAGGCTCCATCGCCAAGATTATCAAGAAGACACTGAATGCCGACTTTCCAGGATGCTTCTCGTGGTTGACGGGGTACGTTGCTATGTTTGTTGGCGCCGTGATGACGATTCTGGTTCAGAGTAGTTCCGTATTTACATCAGCACTAACGCCACTTGTTGGAATCGGAATGATCAAAGTTGAACGGATGTACCCGTTGACTCTTGGCTCGAACATCGGCACTACAGGAACGGGCATATTGGCGGCAATGGCAGCATCGGGGGATAAATTACCTATAGCATTACAGATTGCGTTGTGTCACTTATTTTTCAATATATCGGGAATTTTATTATTTTATCCAATCAAGCCAATGAGAAACTTGCCAATTAAATGCGCTAAATTTCTCGGGACCGTGACTTCAGAATACCGATGGTTCGCAATGGCATATCTTGTACTTATGTTTGTCGTACTTCCCGGCAGTGTGTTCGCCTTGTCATTAGCCGGTTTCATTCCATTTATATGTGTATTCACTTTAGTCGTTGTTATTGTAGCTTTTGTAATTATTTTGAACTTCCTGCAAAGAAAATGCAAAGCTAGACTTCCAAAGTCACTACAAACATGGAACTTTCTCCCAAAATGTTTACGTTCTCTACAGCCTATTGACTGTGTAATAATGAAAGTTTGGGGCGTGATCATGAAATGCTGCCCATGTTGTAGAACGTGCTGCGTGCCAAAGAAGAAGCAGACAATGACCGATGTAGTGAGGCATACCGCAATTGCCGCCGTGGTAGCGGCCGACCTTCCACCTAAACGTGTCTCACCCGCGGCCTCTACTGCATCGTCAGCTTTATTATTGCCAATTAGTGATCGAGTATCTGTGATATAATTTATGGAATAATTTGAAAGTTCCGTTCAGTTGTCAAAAAATATAAAAAAAAGCAATATTATTTCATCTGAAAATCATACCATTTTATCATCTTAGATTTGTGAAGTCATCTATTCGTTAATGTTTTTGTTTCAGTTGAGTTGTTATTATTTACTTTTTTTTTCATTTTGTTTTTTTTGTTTTTGCTTTGTTTTTTTTTATATATATTTTTAATGAATCTCATTAAAGCTTGCAAAATGAAACCAAAAAAAAAAAGAAAATCTCCATCTCTAATATATATTTATCTCAAATCTGCTCTTAAATAATTAGATTTTCATATATTTTGTATGTGAAAATGCATATCTAATTTTCATTGAATGCTATGCTTTCTTTACAGGTAATCAAAATATGTTTCTTTTCAAAATGCTCATAAATTTCGTACATTTCTACCTTTATTTTGAACACAATCATTAAAATAATTTATTTTTTAGCACTTTTGTGTTAATTTTTTTGTTTATAATTATGCTATAATTATAGTATTATATTCCAATACTTGTTTATGAACAGGCAGCTCATTTGTTGTGTATTCAGGTACAATATGTTATCAAATTCAATGCAATTATTGATTTTACAAGATTACACGAGTATATGCTGAATTTATGTGTAAATGCCTGATTTTAACATAAATGACATGAGTAAATGTTAAGCTTTGGTGTAAATGCGCGATTTTACATGATTACACAAGTTATAGCTTAGTTTTTGTGTAAATGCCTGATTTTACATGATTACACACGTCAATACTTAATTTTGTGTAAATAATAAATGACATGAGTAAATGTTAAGCTTTTGTGTAAATGCACAAATTTACATGATTACACAAGTTAATACTTAATTTTGTGTAAATAATGACAAGAGTAAATGTTAAGCTTTTGTGTAAATGCACGATTTTACATGATTACACATGTTAATACTTAATTTTGTGTAAATAAATGACACGAGTTATTTGTGTAAATAAATGACATGAGTGAATGTTTAGCTTTTGTGTAAATGCGCAATTTTACATGATTACACAAGGTTATGCTGAACTTTTGTGTAAAATTGTGTAAATGCTTTATTTTGTATGAAAATACAAGCAAACACTAAACTTTTTGTGTAAGTGCTAATATATGCTATGCAAGTCTGAAATAGTTTGTATGTATGAATTTCAGTTTATTTTTTTGCTATTTATAGTACATTCCTAGAATGTTTTACAGGTGTAAATATTCTGTACATATCTAGATTTAGACAAAAGTGCATAATATGCTACTAATCACTGTTTGAATCTCTTTTTTTTTCTTTAGTATTAAATATTTATATTTGCAAATTCTGTTTTCATATTTTTTCCTCCATAGTTTTTATACAGAAGCCCTTTCTAATGTGGTCCTCTAACAGTGCCACATCAATTATGTTAATATCTGGGTACAACTCTATGGGAAAATTTGGCAAACGGTTGTAAATATATCCGTAATCTTGCAAATTAAAGCAATTAACTGAATGATTGGAATAGAACAGTTATGTTGTTGCAAACAAGTTTTATTAGTTTCTTGTAGGAATGGCACATTTGATAAACAAAAAAAAAGGGGAAAAATCAACTGAAGTTTGGATGTTTAGTTCATAGTATCATACCGGATATAACTTACAGTTTTATTGAAGTTTTAAGTCCTGAGAGGCGGTTCCCAAAAAGGGCCTAAGTGGTAAGCATTGTATGACAAAAGAATTGCACTTGTTTAGAGGCAAGTGCCCTCTGCAATTATTTCTAGCTTAAAATGCTTGGCAATTAAGTTTCCTAAAATTTTAATTTGAACAAATAAATGAAGTTGCACAAGATTAAGTGTAATAGAAATTCACTTTTCTTGATTATTTAAGAAGACTTGTATAGTTCATTCAACAAGCACAGTGATCATTATACATAAATAAAAACATTCAAATGGACCACCTCTTAAGAAAACTTTACTTAAAGTATGGTACTGCAGATATTTTTTAAAAACAAAACAGATGTCAGTAGGACAGAGCGTGTTTGACAATTCCTAGTGTTTCATAGTAAAAAACAAGAGCCTGGATAAGTAGAATTTTCTGAGTTCAACAGGAGTAATCAGTGATTATGTGTCGCCTTATGATAGCCATTTGCATGTCACAAAAATCGTTAACGGGATAACCTTTTTTATTCAAGGGCCATTAACTTTGCCTGGAAAACCTGTGTAATATGCTCAATTACTTGAGTTAACAATCAATCCGGTAGTTTCATTGAAATTGCATTGGTTTTTTAAAAGAGGGGGTAACCAGAAAAAAAATTTTTAAAAAAAATTAAAGGGCCTAACTTTTAATTAAAAATCATTAACCCCGGAAAAAACCTAAACAATATCCCACAACTAGACTTTGTACTAAATAAATTTTTTTTAAATTTTTAAGATAAAATTTGCATAAAGAAAAGTTTCTGAAAAGTAGTCCAGACAAGTTTTGTGACGGACAGACAATGGAGAAGTGATCCCTGTATGTTGTGGCTACTTTGTAGGGGCGACACAAAAATGGCCATAGTTCTGTCAAAATCCATGTTGGAGTTATAGGCCTTGGACAGTGACCTGTTATGCCCTTTTGTGTGTGAAGTTTTAACCCATCAGTAGTTATGGAGATACCAACTTATACGCAAAATCTGAACCAAAGTGTGATGCAAATGCCTTTTTATTATCATAAGCTTTCCCTTTTTTTCTTCAAAAAGTTGAGCTAAAAAGAAATGCACATCAATGGTATCCACCAAGTTTAAGGGTGTTTACCATTCGTTCTAGTCACAGTCTGTGCATATCAGGGTTATTTTGCGGTGTTGTAAGTGCAATATAAATATAAAACTGCCGAATAATTATCACCTCGGATATGTAAACAAACTACTTAAAAGATGAGTACCTACAGATTGGTGTAACCTTGAAATCAACAACAAGTTTATCTCCTTATTATTATATTAATGAAGTACAAGTACTAAATAAAACACTTGAAGATATACGATTTTACCAATTGTTTATTTCTTTAAGCATAACAACAAATAAAATAAAAAATAAATAAATAACAAATAAAAAAGAACTATTGCTAAAAATGGATATCTTTTACATAGTTTACAAAATTGATAACGTTTTGAGCCTATGAACAGAAGCATAACTAGAAAATGGCAAAATAACAAACATAAATTCCCTTTCATATTAAAATGGCAAAATAACAAACATAAATTTCCTTACATATTTAAATGGTAAAATAACTTAACCCATTACTTCATATACACGCCTTTTCCCCCCCCCCCTTTTTGTTGTCTCAAATGGTGAAAAAATGCATTATTTAGGCCCTTAACACTTGTTTTTGTTTGAGAAATGTTGTTAAAAAAAGTGACCACTTTTTCGGCGCGGCCCCCCAACCAAAAGATACATCAGGGGGTTGCCAGAAGGGGGTTGTGCCCCCTTCTGTTTGGGGGGTTTGAAGGGGGGCGGAGTCCCCCTCATCGCCAAGAAAATTTTGGACTTGTGAGAGGCTATAAATGACCCCAGATTGATCATAAGGTAACGTGTAACCAACGCTGAAAAGCATTTGACTCTATCTCAATCCATTGAGAAGTTGCAGCACTTTGAAATCAATTATAATGGAAAAAATCAACGCAAAATAGTGATTTTTGGCAATTTTGAGATGTCCCCTCGTTGCCATGGTAACAGAAAATTTAAGCCTGAGCATGTTGTTGCAATGGCAATGGTCCAGTCAATATTTGTGCCAAGTTTGATTAGCGTTGAAGCAGTTTTTATAGTATTATAGCAATTTGAACTTGAAAAGGGAGACTTTTCAATGAAAACAGCCATTTTTCACAAAATGCTCATGAAGTAATGGGTTAAATAAATTCTCTTTCATATTTGATGATTAATTTATCCTCATCCTGATTCTTAATGGATGTCTAAAATTCATACTGAAACTGTCCATTAATATCAATTTTGGGAATATCATGATAAAATTCAAATGCAGTCAGCTAAAAGTATACAGACTGGTCACATTGTATAAAATAAGGTTTGCTGACTTTTATTTCCAGCTTAATAATGGTTATGGAACAATGTTTTATCAAATAGTGAGATATATAAGCTTTTTCCCTCCCAATTTTATGACCTCCCAATTTTATGACATAGACTCTCCCATGTTTAATAATTATTATATGGAAAAGTCTATTGTTCACTCTGAGGGAAGTCGTGATCACTTTCTAAAGTTGAGCATACAACAATCTAGTGGCAGTTAGAATATGCTTGTTATATTAGTTCATGAGAATCAAAGAAATTAGGGGCGAATAAGTCTGCCATATTTACTAATGAGACCCCAAGAATTCAGTAATGATTAAAATGGAAAAGATGCATAGCAATACTTTGAAACTGAAATAGACACTAGCAAAAATTCAAAATTAAGTTGAATTAAAGAATTTGCATAGAAACAGTATCATTAAATGAACTCATTAATTGAATTATTACAAATTAATATGCATGAACAGAAGAACAGCCTGATTTTGGCTGTTCTGACAGTAATTTTAGGGCTGCCAACTTAGAAAACAAAGATTTTTATTTTTCATGATACTCTTAATTTAAACTGGATACAATTTGGTTAAGAATTCCACATACAGGTTTATTGTAACCTAGCCTTAAAACTGATGGGGGATATCCCATATATCCCTCAGACATAATATGGGAGATATCCTATATAACCCTCAGGCATAATATGGATATCCCATATCCCCTCAGGCATTATTTCAGGCATATGATAGATATCCCATATACCCCTCAGACATAATTTCAGGCATAATATAAAAATCCCATATCCCCTCAGGCATAATTTCAAGCATAATATGTATAAACCCTCAGACATAATATGGGAGATATCCTATATACCCCTCAGACATAATTTCAAGCATAATATGGATATTACCCCTCAGGCATAATATGGGAGATATCCCATACACCCCTCAATCATAATTTCAAGCATAATATGGATATCCCCTCAGACATAATTTCAAGCATAATATGGGAGATATCCCATATACCCCTCGGGCATAATTTCAGGCATATAATAGGAGATACCCTGTATCCCTAAGATATAATTTCAGGCATAATATAGGAGATATCCCATATACCCCTCAGGCATAATTTTATGCATAATATGGATATCCCATATCCCCTCAAGCATAGTTTCAGGCATAATATGGGAGATATCCCATATACCCCTCAGGCATATGACCACTCAGGCATAATATCTCTAAGTCCATCATATCAGTTTGAGCAAGGGCTATATCCATCAGTGAATTATTTTAGGCTTAGTTTGGAATTAAATGACCCTCCTGGTATAATGTCAGTCAAAAAGTTAACAAATAGAAAACAAAAAAGATCTATGTAGACCTATGAAATGAGTATCTAAAATAATAGCACCTTCAAATTATACATAAAGAATAAAGAAAATTAAAAAAATATAGAATAAAAATAAATATATTAAGCACTTGAAAAAAGAAGAAAACTTAACTTGGGACAAAGAACATTTCTTAATTGATGGAAAACTTAAAATATTTCATAGCTCAATCAGAAAAATTACTAAGCATTTTGAAAATAACGTTTGTTATTTAAAATTGAGCTCTGAGGGGTTTTATGTCACACCAACACAGAATAGGTCATACAGCTACTTTCCAGCTTTAACTGGTGTAGAAAGACCTCAGAAGCCCTGCCATGCATTAATTTTTTAGGCACAAAACAGTCACCCGAGTAGAACCACCAATTTCTCGTTTTAGCTAGTTAGGATCATAGCTTTCTCACATGAAAAAATCTAAAAACCCCTGTTGGGATTCGAACCCACAGTGGTAAGAGGCAAGTGGTTTGAAGTCAACAACCTACAGCCTCCCAAAAGTGAGTTCTATTCAATGACAGGTTTTATAGATCTGATAAGACTCTATTTATTACAATGTTTTTTTTTTTTAAAATTATTCTTAATATTCCTACAAGTAGAACATATAAATATATTTTCAAACAAAACCCAAGTTCAACATGAAATTTAATACATTGAGATTAAACTATTTATAAGTACTTAGCATATAAATTATGTAAGCCATATGACTGATAAAGAAAAAGCTGGAAAAAGTGCACGCATACATGTATTTGTGAAAGCAGCCTAACATCAAATATGTTTAAAAATGTTAAAACGATGATTACATTTACATTAACAATATCTAAAAGAAGAGTACAAATTTTAACATGAAGAAATCTGTATTTTAACAACAACCCTGTCATGGCATTAGCTTGGCAAGGCAGGCACAAATTGTGGACTTAAATGTGGTTATATATTTTTACAACATACAAAAACACTTTAAAAAGTAGCACTTTCATAATATATGTCATATAGTCTTAAGCAGGTGTCCATAGATATTTATAAAATATACACAAATTATATGAGGACAAATGTCATAAATCTATTGCAGGATATCTGAATTCTTCAAAGCAATATAATTTGCATCTAAAATATTTTTAAAAGTTTACACAAAAGAAGGTATTTTGTATAGAGACTTCAGCCAAAACTTGGTATTTTACATTTTTCTTTAAATAACTCAAAGATTGGGATAATAAATCTCAAAGTGTTTTTCTTAACAAAACATTTTTTTATATCTTCATAGAAATTATAATGATCAGAATCCTAAAGGCAATAATTCTTGAACAATTTGGTAGCATGTAAGCCTTAATCAAAAGCATGCAAGCACTTGTCAGCTGCAGTTATCACCTTGTCAGCAACAGCTATCAACTCTTAACAAATAATGCCCCAGAAATGGTTTGAAAATGTCATGTACATGTATATAATTTTTACCCACTGGCATGTTTTTGACATTATTTAAGGTAGAATTTATCACATGTGCATGAATGGCGTGGTGAATATCACAATATCAATAACAAAAATTTTAAGATTGCATCCAATAACATTTGCTTTTAGCCACTGAGTCTTCAATACTACAACTTTACTGTACTTAAAAAAAAAATGTCAGAAATATATATAAATAACCAGTGTATTACACATTATGGCAATTACTAATAAATATAAAATGTATGTAGTAATAGTCATTTTCCTACAATACTTGAGTGTCATACAGGAAATAAAACCAATAAAATAAGATGTTAAATTACAAGCTATTAGTGTTTACTTAATTGTCTAAAGTGCCCTCACTGAATAGTTTTCCTTGTTCTCTCAAGATCATTTTTAGTGTGGTCTTCTCTAAATTGTCTTCATGGAAAAAGTAGTACATAGACACTGATTTCAAGGATAACTTAAATATAACTCTGCTAAAATTTCTGAGAAATACTTGATTTGCTTTAATTTAAAATAGTCCATTATGAAGAATTAGGGTATATATTCAATATTAAAATGTAAAAAAGTTGTCTCCGATATCGAGGGTTGACCGCAAAACTGCAGTAACTTGTATGATATAAAGAAGGATTTACAACAGTTTTGCGGTCAGCCCTCCATATACCTCCCTAAAGTTTGTTTGTGGAGGTATAACTATGCATTTTCTGGAACTGATAACATCAATCCTGAACAGTAAATGATTTAGTCCCACTATACCTAAGCCAGCGCAGTGATAAATTTAGTGCCTGTATGCCTATATTTTGTGTGGAGTAGCAGGGTGTAGATTATGACACATAGAGACGAGATTCGTTGACACTCAGATACACAATAATCTCAGTATTATGGCATCACATCATACTCAGGGACCTGAAACAGGAAATAACAATTTTGTAGACCAGAAACACAGTAAAGATAATACATTTTTTAAAATAAAATATTATGATAAAACATGATACATATAACATACACGTTTTGGGACAAAAAAGATCTAAGGAACTTTTTTCTAAATATCTTTCAAAATGTGATAAAAATTAAGAACAAACACTGCTATGAATATTGATTTTGTTACACAGAGTTTACTATAGTTTAATATTACCTGTCTAAAGTTATGTAACTAAGTTATACTGCCTTAAATTTTGAACAGTTCATTATCCAAATCACAGTTTTCAATGTCAAAATTTCAAAACATCAAAGAGTGCAGAGCGTCGTCAAAATGATTAGATGTGCTGACTCAGGGCTGATTTCATACTATGGGCATAGGTGTTATTATTGTAACAACCAATTATTTAAATCAATAATCTAACTTTCATTAAACTTTCACAATCAAATTATTACTATTTGTCAACTGGCAATGATTAACAAAATTGAAGCATTTCTTAACTGATTGTTTTAGTTACTTAATATTTTTATCATTAGAATTATCAAAAAACATTGAAAGAATGTCAATATCTCAAAATATAGAATGTCTTTGATTTTCTGACATAAATACAATGAATCTTGTTACTGATTGTAAATAAAGACATAAAAATTCCAAAGACACAATCCCCTTTTTTCATTTCTTTATAAAAGCATACTAAAACAAACACTTTTTTAAAGAAAATAAACAAAAAAAGTTCAAAAGTCAAGACAGAAGGTCAATGGTAAGCTGATGGTAGTTGTGATATGGCTTGTCTTTTACACAGCTTGTGTAGCAAAGGAAACTTTTAGAATATATTGGTTTGTTTATATCTGTTTTTTATTCAATTTTAACACATTTTGGTCATGTTAATTGATTTATCTAATTAAAGCTTATTAAATATTTTTAACTCTTGTAAGTTGTTATCATCTTGTTATGTGGATAATTTCTTTTTTAAGCAATTTTGCACATCGCCTCAGAAGAATTGTTTCTAGCAAGTTCCATAAAAATTCTGCATAGCTTTTAATTCAAGACCAAATGTAATTCAAAGCATGTTTCTAATTTTAACTCTAGCAGTTATCTTGTTAAGTTAACCAGATTAGTTTAATTATTATTACAAAATATAGCCAAATAATTGCTCTGATTTCTTTCCATTAGTGCCATTTGTCTCTGTCAGGAGTTCTGTTTTATGACTTCAGTCTTATGACTTCTGTCTAATGATTTCTGTCTTATGACTTCTGTCTTATGCTTTCTGTCTTATGCTTCCTGTCTTATGATTTCTGTCTTATGACTTCTGTCTTATGCTTTCTGACTTATTACTTCTGTCTTATGAGTTCTGTCTTATGATTTCTGTCTTATGTTTTCTGTCTTATGACTTCTGTCTTATGCTTTCTGTCTTATTACTTCTGTCTTATGAGTTCTTTCTTATGAGTTCTGTCTTATGATTTCTGTCTTTTAACTTATGTCTTATGATTTATGTCTTATGAGTTCTGTCTTATGATTTCTGTCTTATGACTTTTGTCTTATGTTTTCTGTCTTATGACTTCTGTCTTATGCTTTCTGTCTTATTACTTCTGTCTTATGAGTTCTTTTTTATGAGTTCTGTCTTATAATTTCTGTCTTTTAACTTATGTCTTATGATTTATGCCTTATGTCTAATGATTTCTGTCTTATGTTTTCTGTCTTATGACTTCTGTCTTATGCTTTCTGTCTTATTACTTCTGTCTTATGATTTCTGTCTTATGACTTCTGTCTAATGATTTCTGTCTTATGACTTCTGTCTAATGATTTCTGTCTTATGACTTCTGTCTTATAACTTATGTCTTATGATTTCTGTCTTATAACTTATGTCTTATGCTTTCTGTCTTATTACTTCTGTCTTATGTCTTATGATTTCTGTCTTATAATTTCTGTATTATCATTACTGTCTTATTACTTCTGTCTTATGATTTCTTTCTTATAATTTCTGTCTTATTACTTCTGTCTTATGATTTATGTCTTGTATGACTTCTGTTTTATGACTTATGTCTTATGTCTGATGATCATTTTAAGATGTTTTAAGATGTTTTATTTTTAGCTCTGGCAGCGAATTCAGTGAATGGGGGTAAATTTTACTATTTCTGTAAGAGACCACTATAGCATCATTCCTACATTGTTTGGTCAATTTGGTTAAAGCTAGAAATGTTGATTTAAACAAAAGTTGACAACAGTCAAAAAACACCTCACAAAAATGCTCAAATGAGCTAAAAAAATTTGAACACACAGAAAAACAAACAGTGAACAAAGTTACAAACAAAACAGCTCTTTATGAGCTGGTAAGCAAGTAAGCATACAAACCAACCACCTTTTTTCTCATTCATGTTCTATTGAAATAGTGTTTACAACTTTCCAATTCTCTAAAGAATTATAGTATGAATTTTATAACCATTTCAAATAAGCTTTAGCTTAAGGGATAGGGTACTATACTTAAATAATGCATAAAATTTAACAATTTACCTCCTTTAAATAATTTTACGTCACCCAAAAAATAAATTATTTTGAAATTTCACAAAAAAAAAGGTAATTTTGGTCCACTCCTTTATAGTAAAAATGGTGCCCAATCACTAAAAAAAAACACCACTTTCAAGTCCCGTCACAATCAGAAAACCTCAGTGGAGTCCCTTAAGTCTTCTTTAACAATGATAATTTTAATTTTATTTGCATTGTGATTAAATTCTATGTTTAATAACATAATTATAATAGTTCAAGGAAGAATGATACACAGCATTCACAATACTTATTAATCATCAGAAATAGACATTTGTTTAATCAACACACATATTGATAAGCCAGATGGATAGCTTGCATGCATGAAGAATTTTGAACCCATGCAAGATTCCAATCCATGGTTGGTAAGGACTAATAATGTGGTTTAAGTTTAAGGCAACAACAGCCCATGGGGATCCTTTAACTATATATAATACGAATAGCAATGCAAACATGAAGTTTTATTTATCTAACTGCCTTTAAAGGCACAATGTATACATCTATTAAGAACTGCATAATAAGTTTACAGACTTGACAGACAAACTTTGACACAAACTTCAAGAAGTATTACATTTGTCTTTATTAATATAGTTCAGAAAATGTGCATGTACTTCATTTCCTAAAATGTATTCATGATGGAAATTTAATTGGTTGGATTTGGACACTCCAAAAAGTTAAGTTTATGTGGCAACCTTACAGCAAAAGGATTGAAGGTAGACCTCATGTACCACTCAATGCTTTATTTTACAAGCAAAAACCCAAGAAGAAACGATGACATTATGAAAACTATCTAGAAAACTTCCTAACATTAAAAATTCCAATCATAGATAAATTGGAAAAAAAAACCCAGATCAAATGGTACATATATTTCAAAGAAGAGACCTTTAGCATTCAGACACAAAAATGTACATAGTTTGAAAATGAATTATTGAATCCTTAGCTTGCAGGCGGCAACTAAATACACTAATGTGACAAATGCAGACCAAGATCCACTGGCACTTCAATGCCATCTCATCATGATCTGCAATGTTCTATTCAGTAAGCACTTTTTTTAAAACCATAAAATGATAAATGGATTTGTCCTGATTGAAGGTCCATTTGTCTATGATATTCCGCCTGCTAAGGGTTAAAGATATGAATGATTTGAAACATTAAACACTTAGAAAACAAGTAGAGACAATAACAACCAACAAGCAAAGACATGGTGCAAAGTTGTAAACATTCAGTTCCTATAACAGACACAAATACATGTAGATAAACAGTAAATATGACATATGAAATAATGAAGTCAAGCAAAGGACAGCAAGGAAAGATTTTCAGACAATCATTGTTTACAACTCTCGTTGTAGAATTATTGACAAGTTTTAAAGACATTTCACCAGTGGAATGGAATATGCAATGAAAACAGGAAAGGAATCTTCATGCAAAAGAGGAAAGCCAGAATGGTTAAATCCAATCAAATTTCCTTATTCCTTAGATCCCATCATCCAATCACATCTCTTCATAATTATACCATGTACCAATTTACCAATCAGCCCTATTTGAGTGCAACCAAAGCTATTATAACCATAACAAACTGTAAAGCTGGAGCGGTATTAAGCAATGTGTAAGCAAAAAGATCTAATGCCGTCTGCTGGTTCAGCCATAGTAAAAGGGGATGTTTTCCAACAATAGCTGCTGTATAACATTTACCTGACTGAGCTTCTCACGTTTGGGCTCTCTAAACACTATACCACTATAAACAAATATTGAAAAAATTCATTGTCTTTTTATTTTATTTTAAAACACATTAACACTGTTAAGATCATATGATTACTTTTCAGGACTAGTAGCAGATTTATGCCCTCGAGACAGTATTTTTAACAAGCACCTGAGTAGATCCACCAACATTCCATTTGCTGATGTTGTTAACTTTTAAAAACAAGGTCCCTGATAGAATTCAATCCAAAAGAAAGTAACCATCTTTAATGGTTTTCTTGATTTAGACCAGTCTATTAATCTAGCATCTGATTGGCCAAACCGAAACAGTCATTTGAAATGGACCAATGACAGGTTAGCATTGAGAGACTGGTTATTATTAAACTTCAATATCATAACAAAAGAGGTAGAATATATACAAAAGAACTCTATATATCATCATAGATCAAGCTTTTGTAGTTGATACCCTTTTACTCATACCTCCAATTGCTGCAAAAACTAAAATTTGGAAAACACCAACAACAACCATGAACCAAATACAAAAATATATATATATTTATAGATTAATTCTTGATTTTTGACATGATATATGGCCTTATATAAACATTGTTTGTAAATATAACCAGAGTCATTAGGCAAGGGTTATATTGCATACAACCGTTTATAAATGGTCATATAACCTGTCAGGAATATCAATAATGAATTTATAATACTGCAAACTTCCTTTTTTTTTGAGAAAAAAAAAGAAACTTCTTAGTGAATTAACAGCAGCTGTGTATATAAAACTATATAAACATCATGATTATCCAATGAAAAGAGACACTACAAACTTGCAGTATTACAAAAGATGTTTAAAGAAATAAAATATTCTAGGTTTGCAAAGCAGGTGCTTCTTTACATTTCTTTACAACAGCCATCTTGTAAAACCTGATTTATTTAATTTGCTGTTGGAAATAGAATTTTTTGAAGAGTCTAGTAAGCTTTGAATGAAAAGTCAGAGAAAAAAGGCAGCAGCCATCAAGAACTGCTTAGTTACTGCATTGCAAGCACTTCTAACAATAATATCCGAGGATTTTTAAAAATGGAAGGGTCTGGTTAAAAGTTCTTCTATAACTTAACGTATATACATGTATATATATGGGAAAGATAGAACTATCTTAATTCTTCACAAAAGCTGTCATTATGGCAGCTTGCTCAACTATTCTCGGTGCTTGATAGTAACACAAGAGTCTGAATTATATAAAATATTTCAACGTTCAAAAAGAGCCATAAGTCTGTCAAGTTCTACGCCTTGGATATTGACCTCCTTTCATGCTCACAAATAGGAGTGAGAAGTTTCAACTCTTTCGCTTTCGTAGTTTTTGCTATACCAACATGCATGCAAAAACTTAACCATAGTGGGATGAAGACACCAAGTGAAGCACAATAGATCTCCCTTATTATCAAATTGTCGAGCTAAAATTGAACAAGAACAAGATAAAATTATTTACCTGTGAATGCCTGGTGTTTCTGGTTTCAGCATGGTACTGTAAACATTCACCAGTACAACTAGGCAACAGAGAATAATGGGGCCAAAAATAGCACCCTCCAATCCAAGCCACAACATACCCCCTGCTATAGCCAGGCCAGTCATGTAGGGATGACCACTGAAAATATAACAGTAATAAAATAATTAACAAATGAAACATAAGATTATTATAACCTTTGAAATCATAATTCAACTTAATTTGAAACAATCTGCCATAAAAACACAAGCTATCTTCAAACTTTAAAATAAAACATACCATCACAATGAATAGTTGGTTAAAGTTAAATATATGTTTGTACATGAAGTCATTTTTTAAATTAAATGACATTGAAATTTCAAATAAGAAAAGTTCTTATTACTAATAACATAGGCCGACGTTCCTTTATTTAGCTATGACAAAGCCTAAACCATGGATTTCCAATGAGGAAAAGATGGAAAATCTATTCTAAGCCTAAGTGACCTTGATCTTTAACTGTTCAATCCTGAAAGTCGGCTAGAAGAACCAGCAACTACAGTAAACTCCACTTATAATGATATTTCTTATAATAATATATCGCTTATGAAAATGTCATTGCCGTCGTTCTGATTCTTGTTTTCAAAATGAATGCCTCTGGGATAGAACAATATCTGGTATACCGATATAATTCGTCAAACCACTGAATATCATTATAAAACAGAATTTACTAGTTTGCATACATGCTAAACTGAAACATTTCCATGAGCATAAACAACATACCCTTTGATTTCACTATAGATTGCTGTATCTACGACATAAGCTGGCAGGAAATGAATGACTAGAAATACCATTGCAAGTATGAACTGATCTTTCACCAGCCATAACTCTAACACGGCAGGGAAACACGCAAGATATGTTCCAAGAAAAGGCATCGCACCAAATACAGCAGCAAGAGCTGAAATAGGTAATGATATCAAAATATTCGTAATAACATTTCTAAAACAGTGTCACTTTTAATGTAGAATCATATCACATTGCGACTTTGAAGTTTTTAAAACAAATTCAGGAGGATCGAAGTTGCTGTTCAGAGATTTGATGTCAGTGTTTCAATACATACTCATGCTTTCTGTCCTAACATGGTAAATTGACAAATTTATTAAGCTGTCTTTTAATCATTTGAAATAAAGCAGTACATCTAAATACAATTTGATGACCAATATAAACCAATTAATCACTGTTTTTCAATTCATCATCAATTTTTGAAATCTTTATTTTGCTGAATTTCTGGTCTTAAGGATCATTGATTAATATACTTTAAGTGATAAGGACTGAATGCTATTCTAGTTGGTAGGTATATAGTGTATGATACACTTTCTATTCTCTTTCAGAATTTTTTTTTTTGTTGTCATTATATTTGAGGGATCAAACAGATGTTAAACTTACCTGAAGGTATGAACACAATATTAACACCAAACAATGAATGTGTAAGCCATGTATATAATCCATAAAACACTGCCATCTTCAATGATGCCATGAATACTCCACTGAAAATATAAACATTTAAATGCTGTGACTATTAATCCATATCAGCTGGTCAAAAGGATGCCATGTAGCTGGTTCAAATTACATCTAAACATTACTTTCAGCAAGGAAATATTCATTATTGACAATGGATACTGGTTAACCAAGCTTATATCAATATCTCACCATGAACTGTTACTGAACCAGAGATGCCCATAAGACAGTACGTTTGACTATTCTCAGTACTTGACTGTATATAAAAGGACATTACTCTGTAAAGTTAGGGCTAAAAATAATAAAAATAATGAAGAATTTTACAGAGACTTACTTCTTACAATGTCCACCTATAAAGGTCATATGTTTAAAAAGTTGTGCTGTACTGGCAGAGGATGACCTGACATGTGCATAACTCCATAACATGACAGCAGGTATTTCAGTAGAAACACTGATTTAATGTCACCTGGACATGTATGCATTCAAAGTACATGTTGGGGATTAAAATCTATAGCAGTAGAAAGCGAGTTATAAAAAGTCCCGTGACATTAACCTGCAATAAAGGCCTCTTCTGAAGTAAGGTGGTCTTAAGAATAACTTGTACTTACCTGACAGCATCTTGGACTGCCTGCCCGAAAGTGTTACCACCAGTGCCAGCTGTGGGAGACATGGCTGAGAACCATTCTATTGGTTTATACTGATCACCACTTGATGCAAGTAGGTAGAATAAGGTAGTCAAAAATATTACCTGAAATATATTAAACCTAAATGCTAGAACCAAAAATTTCAAAAGCCCTTGCAACCTGTATAGAGCAAGGTAAGATTGACAAGGCTCTATAATGATGACTTACTATTAAAAGTAAAAATTTTATCTTGGCATCCCTAAACATTATAATGAAACATTACAAAACAAGGAAAAGGTGGAAGAGTTCCATTTAGGATGAAAAATTTTAAAGATTGTACAAAATTATCAAACAGTTGACTTTATTTAATATATTAAATTTATTAATTAAAGTATGTCCGTTTTTTGGGCATTTATTTGTAAGTTCTTTAAAAAGCAACAAGAAGCTGTCCGTAAGACAGCGCGCTCGACTTTTTTATTGCTTGCCAATAAAAAAAGTTTTTGCAGTAAAAGGCAATACAAGAATCTCTGTATTTTTAAAGTGAACAATGGCCATGAGCATTAAGATATTTAGTGAAGAATTATTTTACTGAATTGTGTGATACCCTTGAACACTGCAGCAAAGTTTGAAATGTTTAAGTCAAAAGAGGGCTGGTAAGAAAGAAAAAAAAAACTGAGTTGAGCCTTAAATAAATTAAATAGTATTAAACCCACTTTGAGAGAATAAGGTATTTTTACGTCACTCAGAACACCTTGGTAAATGACATAATAACATAATTTTTCAAGAAATCTATGCCAAGGAAGCAGTATATTTTTGTACAATCAGCATAATATATAGATTTGACTTTGTATGTGAAAGTATTATAGTTACCTTATAATACAAGTAATAGATAAATTTTATCAAGCTTTTTTAGATGTTGTCAGACTGGTACTAAAAACTTAACCAAGATTCTAAGTCGATAAAAGGCCTTAATTTTTTAAAACAAATCCTTGACAGAGTTACCTTCTCTTGCGTACAGATGGGGTAATGATGTGAAATAGCATTAAAAGTTTCAAAGCAATATCTCAAAGGGTTAAGGCAATAAGTGGATTTTACCCATATTCAATGTATTTTCTAAGTCAAAAAGGGGCATAATTCTGTCAAAAACCTTGACAGAGTTATGTCCTCTTGTCTGTTGATGAAGGTCGTGATGGTAAACAAGTATGGTCAGTTTCAAAGCAATACCTCCAATGGTTTTGAAATAAAGTGAGGTGGTACAAAAAACTTAACCAAGCTCAATACACTTTCTAAGTCAAAAAAGGGCCATAATTCTGTCAAAAACCTTGACAGAGTTATGTACTCTTGTCTGTAGATGGAGGTTATGATGGTGAACAAGTATGGTAAGTTTCAAAGCCATACTTGTAATACTTCTGAAATAAAGTGGATTTAATGTCGCACCAACACAGAATAGGTCATATGGCGACTTTTCAGCTTTACTGGTGGAGGAAGACCTCAGGCACAATCAAGTCTTAGGTCTAGTGACCCCCAATTAGTATAATTTATTACATACAAACTTTCATTGTTAAAAAATTAAGGGTTGTACATAGAACATACATACCGAGCTAAGAACAAAGTTGAGAAGGGCTGTTCCACCTCCAAATACCAGTGACAGTGTTGACGTGAGTACAGTGAACACAAGATTCATGTTACCCTTCAATACCAACCACACTGACTCCAACACCTGAAATATTATCATTGTATGATAGCAGTAGAAAACCTTGTCATCTTACTTAGAAATAAATTTGAGATTTCTTACAGGGACTCCCCCGAGTTGTTTTAAACATGCCGGGACTGGAATTTTTTATTTACAAAATAAAATTTAATGTTCCATCCAATAAAGGTCTAGCCCAATAACTTGTTATCATTTATTTTGCTCACTCTATTTTTCCAGAATACTTTTTTTTAATGTGAAAAGCGATCCATAATTGAGGAGGAAATCAATTTTTTTCATGTCAATCAGGTCTAGCACAAAAATACAATTTTCTATTTATTTCTGAACATATTTCTTAATTATCTTTTACATATTTTTCTGTTTAAATTACCCAATAGGATCTATGTACGAAATTTAAATTCTATGTTTAAGACTTTTGGACCTCAGTGGAGTCAACTAATGATAAGTTGCCTGCAAGGAAAATTTTACTTCTTTCATACATCTGAAGAATGGTAAAAATTTCTACACATTTGTAATGAAGATGGTAATTTGCAAAAACTTGTACTTAAATTCTTATTTCCTCTACCAAATGATTTAACATTGCACCAACACAGTTACTGTAGAGGTCATATGGCGAATGCCTAGCTATACTGGTGGAGGAAGACCTTTAACAAGAGCTGTCGGTAGGACAGCAACGCTCAACTATTCTTAGTGCTTGATAGTAAAAAAAATGCTTGATACAGTTACCTCCTCCTGTTTACAGGTTGGGGTCACGATGGTGAACAAATGTGCAAAGTTTCAAAGCCATATGTCAATGGACTTTGAAAATATTTGAACTATTACAAAAACTTTAACGTAAATTCTAAGTCGAAAAAGGGGCATAATTCTGTCAAAATGCTTGATAGAGTTACCTCCTCCTGTCTACAGGTTGGGGTCATGATGGTGAACAAGTGTGCAAAGTTTCAAAGCCATATGTCAATGGACTTTGAAAATATTTGAACTATTACAAAAACTTTAACATAAGTGGTTACGCCGACGCAGACGCCTACGCCGACGCTCGGGTGACTACAATAGCTCTACGTATTCTTATCGAATAGTCCAGCTAAAAAGGTCCCCCTTGATGCATTATTTCAGGCATGAACAGGCACCTGAGTAGAACCACCAACATTCCTTAACCTTAAGCTAGCTGGATAAACTTAAGATTAAACAGCTTCTTTTCATCATGTTTAAAATGTAGATTAAACACATACTGATAAAAAGGTCCCGATGTTTTCTTTAACGAAGGCTATAATGTCACCGAAATTAAATCCATCTCCTTGTGTTACGACGCCCCAGATTGATGACAGGTTTGTTATGTCCAGCGGTAGTTTCATTTGTCCACTTTTACTCAGACTTGTACTTGAGCTGGTATTCTGATTCTGTAATGTGACATAATGAGCTTACGTAAATGTGACACGACTGACAAATTCATTTAAATTAATACGCAATGTGTCACGTTTCTTATACTTGTACAGAAATGTTTTTCAAATTCTAAAATGTGACATTATAAAAGAATATGTGACATAAATGGAAAATTAATAAACAAATTGACATATTGCTTCAACGTATTTTTGTTCATAACCTGAAAATTCATTGTATCATCAATCATATTGTGTAATGTGACTGAAAAAAATAAAACATCATGTATTATTTATTTAATAAGATAGATACTGGAAAGTGACACATGAAATAATGTATGCAAAAATAATTTTACCATTATCTGCCCTTTTGAATTGGCGTCTTTTAATGACAATAAACATGTAACTTTACCAAGTTTGAAAAGAATAGCTTTTATAGTTTCTGAGAAAGTGAACCTTAACAAAAGGTTAACCAATGCTGTAATGACAATAAATTCCCTTTTTTTCTTTTGGAGAGTGGAGCTAAAAATAACTTCTGATATGAATTCAAAGTGCTTATTTGTCCCTAAAATATCTTTGCTAAAATAACAATAGAAAATAGTTTTCCAAAATAAGAAAATCCAACTTCATCTTAATCTTACTCTATTCCTTGAATTTAAATCAATGAAGAATTTTAAAGAATTTTTGTTTAGAAAACTAGAAAGGGAAAAATTTGGATTTTGGGAATTTTTGGGTAAAGGGAATCAAGCAAAAAAAACTTTTTCCATTAGTGATCAAAAATTTCAAGGGTACTTTTTTAATGATTTTTAAAAAAAACCTTTTTTTTCCCCTGTTCTTGCAATTTAATTTCCTTCTGAAATGACAGTGACCCTTAAATTTTGGGCATTTTTTTGGGAAAAATTTTTTAAATTTACTTTAAATTTTTGCCCACTAATTATTTAAATTTTAATTTTAAATTTGGGTCACCAATTTTTAAATTTTTTAATATAAACAACAAAAAATTTACATTTACTTCAATTTTTACTAAAGGTATAAAAAATCCCTATAAAAATTATATTTTATGAAAGCATATAAGTAAATTTTAAATAACACTTCAAAGAATTAAACAAAATTTTAGAAAATTTTTTAAAAGCCTTTTTCCAGATTTTCAAAAAAAACAGAGAAATTGTTTTACATGCTTTTTCCTTTTTTTTTAAAAAGAAAAGCTTTTCCCTTATTTTCTTTTTATGGCTGAAAAACCATATAAAAAAAGCTTTTTTAAATTTTGAACACTAATAATTTGAAGAAAATGCAACTTTGCTATTTGCAAAAAAAAAACTCCCAAACTCAGAAAAAGAAATTTTGGGGCCTTCCCCACTTAAATTAGAAAGAAATGACTTCCCCATTTTTTAACAGCAATGACTTCCCCACTTTATACAAAAGCAAAAACTTACTCACCTAAAAAAGCAATGATTTCCCTACTTAGAAAACTAATGACTTCCTTTCTAAGCAAAGTAATGACTTCCCCTCTATGTGAAAGCAAAAACTTCCCCATTTTGTAAAATCAATGACTTCCCCACCTTAAATGCAGTGATTTCCCCCCTTAGAAAAGTAATGACTGCCCTACTCAGCAAAGTAATGACTTTCCCTCTTTGTGAAAGCAATGACTTCCCCAATTTGTAAAGGAATGACTTCCCCACTTAAAAAGCAATTACTTCCCCACTTAGGAAAGCAATGACTTCCCTACTCAGCAATGGAATGACTTTCCTTCTTTAAGAAAGCAATGACTTCCCCATTTTGTTAAAGCACTGACTTCCCTACTTAGCAAAAATTGACTTTCAGACTTTGTGAAAGCAATGATTTCACCTCTTAAAAATGCAATGACTTCCCCATTTAGCAAAGCAATGACTTCCCTACTTAGCAAATTAATGACTTCCTCACATTGCAAAAGCAATGACTTCCCCATTTTGCTATAGCAATGACCTCCCCACTCAGCAAAGTAATATATTCCCCACTTTGTTAAAGAAATGAGGTCCCACTCTAGAAAAATATATGACTTCCCCACTTTGTGGTAGCAATAACTTCTCAACTTAGAAAAGAAATGATTTCCCCACTACCCACTATGTAAAAGCAATTATTAAAAAGGAATAAAACATTCCTGTGCATATAAGTTATAATTGCCTTTTTAAATGTTTAAACACCACAGTACATTGAACTTAATCTAGCATATTTTATTTTCTGTCCAATTCTAACATACAATTAAAATAATCTGTATTAACTTAAAATTTTAAAAAACAATTTTTCCAAAACTCAATAAAAAAAAGTAAAAAACTCTCCACCCGGGAAAACCCCAACCCAAATTCCCAAAAATTTTTTAAAAAAAAACGAAACCCCAAAACAAAAAAAATTCAATGAAAATCTATTATAATAAAAAATAAAAATTTTTTAAAAATGTTTTAAACCCGGGGAAATATAACAAAAAAAAAGAAATAAAAACTTAAAATAAAAAAAAGGGATTTTTTCTTGGGCATGTTTTTAAAATTTTGATCAAAAAAAAAACCCTTTTAAAAAAATTTAAGAAACTTTTTTTCCCAAATATAAAATAATTTAAATTTTTTTTGAAATTTTTAAACCCTTTAAGCCATTAGCAAAATAAAAGCGGGAAAACATTTAAAACAAATTTAACCCCATATTTTGCAAAAAAAAATCAATAAATTCAAATTGCCTACTTTTAAAAGGAGAAAAAAACAACAGCAATAGAAAGTCAGGTAAACTAAACATTTGTTGGAAGGCCTTATAAATAACCTCAAATAAGTCAACTTGCAATAATATCTTAAATTTGTGCACAACATTTAAAACTAATGTCATATAATCCTGATAATTAAGTTAGTTCATACAAATAGGGGTGTCACGTTTAGAAAAAATGCTAACCGTTTAACCGACCATTCTAATAAAATCCTTACATTTTCAATGTTAACATTGTTTCTTTCTGACAAGATATGACATTATGTTTGTATTTGCTGTACTCAAAATGATTACAGTACATATCCAAATACAAGTGTAACTCCTTTCCATGAGGGCCACACCATACTCAAAATACATTGTTGAGCAAAACTAAAATACAAACAAATTGTCATACCTTGTTATAAAAAAAAAGGCAATACTTAAAATCAACTTAAAACTCTTTTTTTGCCTCATCGTCAAATACAAACCTCGGTTACCAGATAATCAATTTTCTAACCGGTTTTTAGCTAAAAACTGACCGAACCCATTTAAACATGACACCCTTTCATACAAGTAACTCACTGGTATGGTCAAAATTAGGTAAAATTAGCAAAATCAACATCACTCAAATTATTTCATGGTTAGACACTTACAACTCATGACAGATGAAATTATCAGGATGGTGTGTTTATCTTTCTTCAAACTATGCATAACGCGGGCTTAGCGCAAAACGGTTGTAACTCAATTTATGCAAATTTTACAGGAGCATGAAAAAACTTTTTAAAACTTTTGTTAATGAATAAATATGTTTTATTTTAGGAAAATATATACATTTTAGTTAAGGAATTAGAAACAAAATAAGAAAAAAGAAGCAAATTATTTTTGAAAAAAATATTTGAATAAGTTCAAGTTACAACCGTTTTTGCAAATAAAATTTTGATAATTTGTTACATATTTTTTTGTGCAAAAGGGTAGTATCTCAAGTTACAACTGTTTTCCGCACAAATTTTGAGCAAATTTAATTATTTTCTTTGTGCAAAACGGAAGTATCTCAAACTCACATCTTTTTTATAGGATGTAATAATTGGATAAAATAAAACATTACTTCAAAATCACATGAAATACATGTAGCCATTATAAAATAAGATTATAATATGTGCAAGTCATGTTTAGAATGATAAAAAATAATGAAAGTAAGAATAATCAGTAAAAGTTTGAAGAGAATGAATGTCCTCAATAGAGAATAATATAGCCTATACCACTTTATTTAAAAATATATTAAGGGATAAGCTAAAATTATTTTTTATGGTAATTATAAATTTATATGCTATTCTATAGAATGGTATAAATGCTATCTTAGGCACATGTACATGTATTTCAAAATAAAAAGTAAGGTTAGCCACCCTTTCAGCTGCTGGGCATTTAATCCTTAATACCCCAATTGATATTATAAAATTACGGACTTCAATTTTAGCGAAATAATTCAAAATCTTTTAGATTTCAAAATGTTTTAAAGGATAATTATGCTGGCTCTGATCTTTACTGGTTGCATGATAGAATGTGTGACACCCATTTTCAGGTTAAGAGTTTAAGCTGTAACATTTGAAAAATATTTGTTTGGAAATATGACAGAGACACCATAACAACTGTGAATACAAGGTCCTCATAATGTGTCTTGACTTAAAGCTACAGTCTCACTGACATCCCTGCAGAGCCCTGGTAGACGTCCGGGGTGATTCGGGGCTCTACCGGGAACAACCGGGGTACATCCGTTACACTGCCGACAACATTTGGGATGATCTGGAACATCCGGCATTCGACCCTGGATGGAATAAAATATTTTATATCACCAGGGTGGTCCTGGATGATCCGGGAAGTAAAGCTTTGCAGGCTTCATCCTTAGCTCTGCCGGGAATAACCAGGGTTACACAGGGGAAGCACCATAGCTCTTCCGGCACAAACCAGGGATGATCTGGGGTATGATATAGCCAGTAGAGCTATGGTAGAGCCCCGGTGAATGCTGGCAGAGTACCAGTAAATGTCGGCAGAGCCCCAGAGGATGCCGGCAGAGCCCGGAGGATGACGATGGAGTTACGGTTGATCCAGGTAGAGCCCCGGCAAAGCCTAGTTCATTTCAAAAGAATCACAACAATTTGCGATGATTGCACTTGTTTGTTTTAAAAACCCTTCCAATTTCCCTTCTATCCAGTATGGCATAAGGATTTTTCAGAAAAATCATCATGAATTACTGTTCTGGAACAATATTATATTAAATAAAAATTATGTATCAATGTTATTCTTTTCGTGCGTTTAATTTT